CTGTGAGGCCGTTGACGAGAAAGGACAAAGCGGGCTACTTTTTTGAGGAAGCTTTGGTCCTGTTGTTTGCAGCAAGATGCTACATATCTCCTTTAGGTATGTTGTGAGAAGTGTGATCCTTTCTTACATCATGTGCTGGAATCATACCAGTTGAAGAAAGGAAACAGTTGAAAGATGTAGGATTGAGCTCCAAGCACAAGAGTGTGGCACCAATTCAAGAGAGTGACATAAAAAAATACATACTTGGAATATGATTCCTAGCAGTACCTTATACTGCAACAGCTACAATATTTAAATAGCTTTTTATACAGACGTATGCAAATTTGACATCAGAAATATGAAAACAAAAACTCTTTTTAACAAGAAGGAAATCTGTGACAGGCGAGGATCTCCAAAGCTAGTTTCTCCTAGTCCAGCTTTCATTAGCACCTTTCTACCACTAGATGGAGACTGTGCATATGTACTATTAATGCCACGGTGTTAATTTAATGGTGCAGGGCTTAATCACTGCCTGTATCCACAAAGATTAATAGCCATGCAGATGTTGAGATATCAATTCTATCTACACTCTAATGACAATCATCAATGCAAAGATGCAAATAACAACCTTTAAAAGATTAATGTTGCTGATCTAATCACCAGGATGACCCTTACATAAACAGTGATGCAAGATTTACTGCAAGACTTTTGGCTTTATGTCAACTGGGCCACCTGGCAGCCATACAAATAAAACTGGCGAGTCACAACAAAGCAAAGTTTTCACTTTAAACTAAAATCAATTTATCTATTTGTTGTTTAGCTTCAATAGTTCTTTGATTTCACCCTTATTCCCCTTTTAAATACCTAAAATTTACATAAGCTGTTTGATTCCTCTATATTCATCTGAACTGTGTTCACTTTGAAGCCTTATATGTCGCATACATTAAATGTATAATATTTGTTTTATTTTATAAGTCCTAGTTTTCTTATTTATTTATTTATTTGCTGTTCAGTATGTATCCCCAAAGTCCCTTTCTTATAAACTTGTTATTAAATTTATACAATTTCAGATGTAAAAGCAGAAAAAGTGTGAGAAGAAGCAAATTATGGAGACAAACACTCAGCACTGTATCCACTTCAAGTGACTCACTAAATTATATGATCTTGCAAAAATGAGTCCTTAGATAAGAAATTAATTATTAGCCGATACAGTGACTTTCTGAAAATGATTTGAGTTTTTATTTTTCCTAGCTACACCATAGACTGCTTTGCTTATTATAAAGAGAAAATGTCATGAATGTAACAGAAGTCACAATCGCAAGTTCATAATTGATGTATATAGTGTATATATATATATATATATATATATATATATATATATATATATATATATATATATATATATATATATGAAATACATTAATAACAGCAACTAAAATGTACATGACATAAAATGTTAAATCATAAGTTGATAAGTATGTTGCCAAATGCAGAGGAGAGCCTTATAATTTATTATCACTATCACATTCTGAACTGTTGGAGCAACCAGTAAACCCCATCTATTGAAAACAACAGGTCTGTGTTTTATATCAAAACATAAAAATGTAAAGCTTTTTATATGTCAGGAGAAGTATTATGATTTATATCCTCAATTTAAGCTACCCAGTGAAGGGAATCTAAAATAGGAGGAAAAAACTGTCTCATTCCAGTTTTTTTTTTTTATCATAACTCCAATTTTTAACTGAAGCAAGTTAATTGACTAATTCCTCTGCATCACTGAATTTTAGGAATATTCTAGACTTTAAACGTGTTAAAGCATAATTTACAAAGAATCTATTAAAGTATATGTAAAGATTTAAATTGTACTCATTCAGTATTTTTACAAAATTTTGGAGATAAACTGAAAAGTACCGTGTCACATGAATTGATGTTTAAATTATTAGATTATGTTTAGCGTCTATTTTGTCTCTTCATATCTTTAAAATGTGTTTTTTTTTTTTTTGTTTTTTTTTTTATTTAATGTCAAAATTATGGTGGTGCTGCTCTGTTTCTCTCAGGATAATAATTTACTCAGTGTGTCACTGAAGCCGGCTCTCCTAAGTCCAAACCCCTGCAGGCAACGTAATGAAGAGATGTTCACTGAACTGTGACTGTGCCTAAGAGTGAGACACTGCTTTGCTTTGTTAAGATAGTGTAGAATCCTGCATATTTTGATGTCACAACAAAGTATGTACCTATAAGACCACATCAACAATCACATGAATGCATTTTTCTTTTTTTCTTTTTTTACTTATCCAATCAAAGCAGGTATTGAAAGGATCCCCTGTAACATTAAACACTTGGATATAATCCCTAAATCATGCTAATGCAAATTTACCTTGCAGGTTGTTAGCATACAAAAATATATGTGGCTTCAGAGTCAGAAAAAATAAATTGCAGTCTTTCCTGAACAACTGTGGAACTTCAACTAAATCAAAATGACACTTATTTTTTTTACCTTTCAAGAAGATTCTGAATCATAACTGAGGGAACTCCTAAATGCATGGGTGCTATAAATATATTTAAAAAAGTATATATAAAACTAATGTTTTATATTGTTGGATAGATGATTATTCTAAATATTCACCTTACTAGGTAGACAAACACTAGAATAAAGAGAGAAACAGCAAACACACTTACATTGAGATCATAAGTCTTTTTTATTTAAAGCAAGGAAATTAAAATACAGTTTATACAGGTCACTACAGTTGACAGTTGAACCAGTTAAACTTACATGAGACATTAATAAATCTTTAAGTCATATTTACTATCATTTTTGTTCCCAATTCATCAGATTTTAATGTTATTATGAGGTAGTTACTCAGAGGAGCTCCAGTTTTATAAATATAGCTTCGTAAATTGATTTTATTTTGTATATATTTTGATTCCTTGCTAACTTTGAGGCAAGATATGTATGTTGTTTTTTTTTTATTTGAGATGGAAAGAATAAAATGCTTTATTATTAAATGCTCAAGTTAAATATTTTAGTAAAATATTTCTATTTTTTAATCAGTTATTGTATGTCCCACTTTCAGAAAATAGTTAATACTTTTGATTGAGAGCAGTACTTATGGTAAGACAAAATACCAAAAGGGGTACACAATTAAAAAAGTGTCTGCCTTATTGGTGAGTTTTCCTCCATCCTCTACACACTGAGCAGCCCTAGAGTGCCTCCAGTTTTTCTTTTTCTTTGGCCTCCCTGAGAGCATCCTGGAATCCTAAAGCCACTTAGTTACTAGTTCAGGCCATGTTAGTTAACCCTTTCTACAAAAACCCACCTCTGTATATAAAAACCCACCTTTTGTTGCTTTTTTCCCAACACACTGGGATTCACATACCTTACCTTACATTTAGTAAGACAATCTAATCTTAGCACTTAGCAATAATCTAATCCTTCACTTCTTATGGAAACTTCTTGCTCTGCTGCTGACAACCAACAGTTACCAAAGACATTTAAACATCACTTAGTTGTACAACTTATTTCTTTCTATTTGAGTTTGTGGTTCTTGGCTTAAAGTACTTTCATTATGACACAAACATGCTCAAAGATTTCTGAGGCTTTCATCCCCCTAATGTTACAGTTAACAGCTGATGATCCAATATCCCTAAATGGCAAATCTTATGAGATAAAATCACACTGCAGCTACTGTTGTATCCACTGAGAAATGATTGAGGGAGGTTGAAAAATGAAAGGATTGTGTTAAACATATTTTATTAGCTGTTTTTACACACTGGTCTAATAGAAGATGATATATGGGCTTCAATGGGAACAAATTTAGTTATAGATGCACCCCTTTTTAGAAACTCTGTGCAGATGATTTGTTCTTAGAGTATATACCCATGAAGTCAATAGTAAATGAAAATATGAGGCTTTCTCCTTTCAGACAGATGGTGTCTAGACTGAGACAGATGACAAGTTAAATTCAAAACTCCCCAGAGGGAAAAGAGGAGGGGAACACAAGGGGAGAAAATATTGAGTCTACAAACAACACATGCTTGTTAACACTACTGCTAAAGTTTTCCAAAAGTATTAATGATTATAATGAAATTTCATGCTGAAAATGTTCATAGAATCAGAGAGTTAAAAATAACACATTGAAAAAGTTTTTTTTTTATTGCCATTTTATTTTTTTAGTTACAAGCAGCTTATTGACATTAATTATCATTTGAAAAGACACAAAAAAGTGTTTCCGTAAAAGTTTTTAAAAAAACAATCCACTGGACTTGGTTTCCAAGATTGGAAGACGAGTCGGTTTCAATTTGCATGTTTTCAAGCAATACAAGGCCTTCTTTATATAAAGACTCAAATTCATTGCAGATCCAGACATTTGAATTGAGAAAGCTTCCTGGAAGGGAAGCGAAACGTCCTCAAATCTTGGAAACCAAGTCCAGTGGATTGTTTTTTTAAAAACTTTTACGGAGTGACTATGACCTGGATGACTGAGAATCTTCATCAACACACAAACAAGTGGTTTGGGGAGACAGTTGTTTGTGTCTTTGTGATGCAAAAGCTGTACCTGCTGTAGGCTACATGATGGAGTCATTTCTCAAAGAGCTCGTTATAAGGTCTGATGACATATTTTCCACTAGCTGTGATTTATTCCCAGTGATTATGTGTGGAATGATTTTCGCCCTTCAGAAAAGAGCTGATAAGCAAAGTTTATCAAAGCTTATTGGTTTTAGATATTATTTTTAAATCCTCAACTATTTAACTTTTGTTTTTTCTCGAAATTATCGAACAACAGCATGATTTCTTATAAAAGCCAAAGTTAAGAACATTTCAAATAATTATTAGATGTGGAATTATAAAGGCTTCATGTCAACTGATCTTTAACCAGTCAGTCCAATACATTTAAATTGTTTTTAAATGCCAGCATCTTGCCTGCATCCTATGAATTTCTCTGTCTGTGGCTCATGAGTAGAAATAGGTGTGTCTTAGTGAAAGTAGACAGATGAGGCTTTGGAAGCAAACAGATGCTCTTACTCAAGTGAAGGACGAAACAAGATGAGGATCAATGTTTACCAGGTCCTCAATTACACCTTAATCACAACTTTTTCTCTTAAAATAATTCACAGAGACAGCCTGAATCTTGGGGAAATATGTTTTGGTGTTCTCTGCCTCAACTTTTCTTCAACCATTTACTAGTGGATGCTTGAATGTGCAAGGTGAGTTCATTTAATAATTCATTTAATAATTGAATAGTTTGATTTAATCTTTTCCCAATAATGTTTTGTTCTTAAATTGTTTTGTTCCTACAATAAGAAAATGTGTAGATATAATACAAATAATAATCAGTATTATAATAACAGCCGGCTTTTTCCAGCAAGAAGGGTCTTGTTCAAATCCAAAACACAGATTATTTTCTTGTTAAGTTTGTATGTTCTCACGATTTATTAAGGGTCTATGCATTACTCAAGTTTGTTTCTGTACTCCAAAAATTAATTATTCAACTGGTTTATTTATTCCCCTGAATTCCCCTTAGGTATGAGTGTTTGCATGTGAGATTGTAAAACATGTGAGATTGTAAAACGGACTGGTGACCTACCTCAAACTTATAAAGACATGTAGGCATAGATAGATAGATAGATAGATAGATAGATAGATAGATAGATAGATAGATAGATAGATAGATAGATAGATAGATAGATAGATAGATAGATAGATAGATAGATAGATAGATAGATAGATAGATAGATAGATAGATAGATAGATAGATTCTTCATAAAATGTAACTCTTTCTGTTTTTGTTTTCCTCTTCTGCAAACATGAACCCTGTAGGGCAGTGATTTTCCGTGGGGGACGGAAAGATAAGGAGACATCTCTACTAATGTCCATGCCGGTGGACAGAGAGGACCGTGCATGCGCCAGAGAGGAGAGGAGGCGCAGGAGGCGTGCAACTGTCAAATATCGATCTGCTCATGCATCTAGGGAGCGTGTCCGTGTCGTGGCCTTTAATGTGGCCTTTGCAGAGCTAAGAGGACTCCTGCCGACTCTCCCACCTGATAAAAAGCTGTCCAAAATTGAAATCCTGCGACTTGCAGCCTGTTATATTTCCTATCTTAACAATGTGCTGGATGTTTGAGGGAAGATGGCACAAACGGCAAGTCACTAAATCTATAAGGAATTTCCAAGTAGGTTTATATTAACAAGAGTTTTCTTTAAATAAGACAATAGGCCACAGTGTCTGAGAAAAAAAAAGTGTAGGATTGGAGGGTTAAAGAATGGCCTTTTATGAACTATAAGTTTCTTAACAAAATGTTTCAATTGCATATTCTATTGTAATGGAGGCCAAAAAGTAAAGCAAATATTTTAAACAACTATTGATAATAGAAAGTGAAATTAATATTACAACAATATTTTTCTAATTTAAAAAAATGTGTCGTTATTAGATTGTTTTTGGAGAATAAATTATCAAATTACGATAATTTAACTTCTTTTTTTTTTTGCTCTCTTTATTGTCAGCAAAATAAATTAAACATCAGTGAGTGAGTTAACAGTTTTCTTCCCAAGAAGAACATGTCAAATTAAATGTACTTATGTTGCTGCAGATCTTAGTTTGTTTTGTAAGCAAATGTTGAAGTTAAACTTGTCTATTTTTGACATTGTTTTAAATAAATGTACTATAAGCTCAGTTTATTATGTTTACATTATTTTAACTCGACATTTAAACATATTTAAATAAAAAATATTTTTATTGATCCTTCTACTTTTCAACTCCCCACATTTGCCCTGAGGAAAAAACTTTTTTTTTTTTACTTTTCATATGATTTAATATATACATTTGATAGCTCTTGGTGGATCTGTTCACATTTTTGTTATTAGTAGATAAAAAAAAAAAGATTTGGAATCAAGATATCAAGGTTATGGATGCTCTACTACACAAATCTGCACACAGAAAAAACAAAAAATCAATACTTTGAAAAGAGACAAAGCCTTTTATCATCACAAAACGATGCTGCAAGAATGTAGATAAAGAATAGACAAAGAGCTGGCATCATACCGATTTTTACAATTTTTTTTTCACATTTACCAGGAAGTCCCTTGAGATAAAATCTCTTTTTCGAGGGAGACCTGGCCAAGAGGCAGCAGTACAGTAAGACATAGACGTAGATTTAAAGTATCTACATTTGCCAAAAGTCTCAGAATTGCTTTAGGTTTATCTTTCTTTAATTAAAACTACAAATGGTCTCAGACAATGTCTGTTAGGATTTTGTCCTGCAGGATCTCCAGGCCCCGCTATTCAGGACTGACTCTAACATAATTACAGATGAGTACAGAAATAAATGAATATTTAATAAATACATTAAATGGGCAAACAATACATCAAAAAATTTATGTAAACAGCAATTAAATTATGCAATAAGAAATACATATATATTTAATTACCTTATTAATTTATTCATCTTCATAAAAATTACCATATTTATTTAATATCATTATATTTTTCTGTGTTCATTTACTTTACTCCTATTTAACCATATAATTCTGGTATTATCTTTTACAGATTTTGATTAACCTTTCTCAGATTTGTGTTTCTTCTTATCAGGATTAAAACATTTTAAATGAAAATGATTTAAAATCTAAATCAATTATTTGGGGCAGATACATGTTTAACTCCCAGTAAGTGGAGCACTAGCGCTTGCCTGCTCTAGTTCTGTACTGTTTGCAAGCAAGTTTTGTTGTTGTTGTTGTTGTGATTATTTTAGTTTTGTTCATGTTCTCCACAGCACACTGAGCAAATATGGTGTTACTGTCAAATTGTTTGAAAGTTCGAAGCATGCCAGCACAGGCTGCTTCCAAGCATTAAAGAAAAAAAATAAAATTATAGATGAAGACATAGTAAAATGTGTTCAATAATGTTACGACATACTCCTATATAAATTTGTAAAGAGATTTTAACTGAATAAACCCATGTGTTTTTTCTTTATGCTTCACTAGTAGGCTTTGTGTCTTTCTCTAACATTCAATTTCAATAAAATATGTTCAGGGATGTGTTTCCATTGACTGAATGTGAAAAGGATCATTGTATGAACACTTTCTGCTTTTTATTTTAATTTTACAACCATGAGAAACTTAGTCACAATTTAATTCATGTCAAGTGAAAACGCTTTTATTTGAATTGAGCCTAAATGCATCAGAATGGGAGAGTTCAACCTAATCACAAAAAAAGACTTTAATTACAGTTAATATTTCAATCTGAAAAACTCACACAGAGAGAAAAGATAATTAGAAGAATTTATTGATAGAAAGTGTAGTCTTTGGCGCTCAGACCTCGGCAGGAACATTCATGCTGAATTATGCTTTAACATGCATGAGTAGATGAATGTGAATAGGGATGTTCTCCCCGGGCCTGAAACTGGTGGTGGTTTAATCCGAGCTGGTTGACAAGGTGATCTGCTGGGGAGAATTGTGGGACTAGAAGACTGAGGGAGCTGACGCCGGGGCATCATTCAGACTCGGGATATAGAGGTCCTGCTCGGTGATGCAGGTACCGTGAAGTGTCCATGATGAGCAAGCATGAAGCGACAGTGGAGAGGAAAAACTCCCCTTTGGGAAGAAACCTCTGGCAGAACCGGGCTCAACATGGTGGTCTTCTGCCGGACCAATGCGATGAGACGAGGGATGGTGACAACTGGGATTAATACTCTCTGATGAGGTTGAGGTGAAGTCGTGTCATGGAGGACGATTCAGCTGCGATGGCGGAGAAGGGGATGGAGGTGGGTGAATTGTCGTCTGGATCGAAATCCGACATTGCGATTGCAGGATAGCGGCTGTGGTGAGACTTGAGGGAGTTTATAAAGTGGAAGCAGGACGCTGATTGGGCTTCGTGGTGGAGTAGTTCAAAGCTGATTGGCTCGCTTCGGAGACGGATCGGCTTCTGATGATGTGAGGTAAGTCAGAGTTTCTTCAATTGAACTTTCGCTAGAGCTTCATTTCAATCTGAAAAACTCACACAGAGAGAAAAGATAATTAGAAGAATTTATTGATAAGAAAGTATAGTCTTTGGCGCTCAGACCTCGGCAGGAACATTCATGCTGAATTATGCTTTAACATGCATGAGTAGATGAATGTGAATAGGGATGTTCCCCCAAAAAGCCGAGGTCGAGGCCGGAGAGTCCGTATGCTCGTAGGGCATACACTAGGGACAGAATAAAGAATGCGTAATGAAATGCTGAGAAGGTTTGCAAACAACTTACCGAGCCAGGTTGTTGATGAGGATGGCGACCACGGTTGACGCCGAGAACTTACCCATGATGATGATGAGGATGGCGACCACGGTTGACGCCGAGAACTTACCCATGATGATGATGAGGATGGCGACCACGGTTGACGCCGAGAACTTACCCATGATGATGATGAGGATGGCGACCACGGTTGACGCCGAGAACTTACCCATGATGATGAGGATGGCGACCACGGTTGACGCCGAGAACTTACCCATGATGATGATGATGGCGACCACGGTTGACGCCGAGAACTTACCCATGATGATGATGATGGCGACCACGGTTGACGCCGAGAACTTACCCATGATGATGATGATGGCGACCACGGTTGACGCCGAGAACTTACCCATGATGATGATGATGGCGACCACGGTTGACGCCGAGAACTTACCCATGATGATGATGATGATGATGGCGACCACGGTTGACGCCGAGAACTTACCCATGATGATGATGATGATGATGGCGACCACGGTTGACGCCGAGAACTTACCCATGATGATGATGGCGACCACGGTTGACGCCGAGAACTTACCCATGATGATGATGGCGACCACGGTTGACGCCGAGAACTTACCCATGATGATGATGGCGACCACGGTTGACGCCGAGAACTTACCCATGATGATGATGGCGACCACGGTTGACGCCGAGAACTTACCCATGATGATGATGATGATGGCGACCACGGTTGACGCCGAGAACTTACCCATGATGATGATGATGATGGCGACCACGGTTGACGCCGAGAACTTACCCATGATGATGATGATGATGGCGACCACGGTTGACGCCGAGAACTTACCCATGATGGCGACCACGGTTGACGCCGAGAACTTACCCATGATGGCGACCACGGTTGACGCCGAGAATTTTCCCATGATGGCGACCACGGTTGACGCCGAGAACTTACCCATGATGGCGACCACGGTTGACGCCGAGAACTTACCCATGATGGCGACCACGGTTGACGCCGAGAACTTACCCATGATGGCGACCACGGTTGACGCCGAGAACTTACCCATGATGACGACCACGGTTGACGCCGAGAACTTACCCATGATGACGACGACGATGACGATGACGATGACGATGATCCCATGATGATGATGAAGATGATGATGATGATCCCATGATGATGATGATGATGATCCCATGATGGTGATGATGATGATGATCCCATGATGGTGATGATGATGATGATGATCCCATGATGATGATGACGATGATGATCCCATGATGATGATGACGATGATGATCCCATGACGATGATGATCCCATGATGATGATGACGATGATGATGAATCCTGCGGATGATGATGACGATGGTGCATCCCATTATGATGACGATAATGAATCTTGCGGATGAGTCTGATAATGAATCTTGCGGATGAGTCCATATAGAACATATAACATGACGGGATACAGACATGACGAGACGCAGACATGGTGCATATTGATGCATTGGAAATGCAAGCAAAATGGCGTAAGGGATGCATGACAAGACACGACGAGACACAGATAGGGAGCATGTGATGCATGGGGAATGAATCTTGCGGATGAGTCTGATAATGAATCTTGCGGATGAGTCTGATAATGAATCTTGCGGATGAGTCCATATAGAACATATAACATGACGGGATACAGACATGACGAGACGCAGACATGGTGCATATTGATGCATTGAAAATGCAAGCAAAATGGCGTAAGGGATGCATGACGGGACACGACGAGACACAGATAGGGAGCATGTGATGCATGGGGAATGAATCTTGCGGATGAGTCTGATAATGAATCTTGGGGATGAGTCTGATAATGAATCTTGCAGATGAGTCTGATAATGAATCTTGCGGATGAGTCTGATAATGAATCTTGCGGATGAGTCTGATAATGAATCTTGCGGATGAGTCTGATAATGAATCTTGCGGATGAGTCTGATAATGAATCTTGCGGATGAGTCTGATAATGAATCTTGCGGATGAGTCTGATAATGAATCTTGCGGATGAGTCTGATAATGAATCTTGCGGATGAGTCTGATAATGAATCTTGCGGATGAGTCTGATAATGAATCTTGCGGATGAGTCTGATAATGAATCTTGCGGATGATTCTTGCGGATGGTTACATATATGAAGAATTGATGCATTAGGGAATGCATGCTAAATGGTGTCAAGGATGCATGACGAGACACAGACCAGACGTGACGTGACACACAGGAGAATGCATATAATGCCTGTCATAAAGGTGAGATTGCATGAATGCGAGCCAGAATGAAGATAGCATGAATAGCCAGGAGACAGCATGGAAGACTGCATAAAGCAGGGAATAATGAAGAAAACTGATAAGGAGTGGGAGTAGAAAATGAGTTAGAGGATAGTCGTGATTAGGTCAGAAAATTATGAAAATGAGTTGAACCACCACCAGTATTTGAAATAGTGTTACCTAGAGGCAGAGAGCACTGAGCTGAGAATTGGTGATGTTCTGGGCGGATGAATGAGGTATAGGCTGGTGAGCCATCGGCCCAGAGCTGAGGGAAGCCTCAGAACCCCGCGAGTAGCTGCAATGCAGCTGCTCGGTCCAGAACGAATGCCCAGATTACCTACTAGAGGGAAGGCCACGTGATTCTAAGAGTATCCTAAGGTGGTGAAGAACCATGGTGGACGTAGGGTAATGCTTGGGCGAATAAAAGTGCTGAATGCCTAAACATAACGCACTGAGATGATGAAACGTTAGTGACTGCTGCCAGTGATGCTTCTGATGAAGGCATGAGAGACTGGGAGGAGTAGAGACTTATTAGTGGCTTCAACTACTACGAAGTTATCGCAGTGGGCGGACGCGATTCCTTCCCAAAGCCCCACGATGCAAGCTAGCTAGGGTTAGACCTCACACAAGCATAATGGGTGTGAATAAAAGAGGCCATGAACCACCTGTCCTGAAGAACCCCCCAAAACCTACGGATGCAGCATCCGAAAAATTTTGAAGCATGGCAGGAGATAGATAATTTCGACATAGAAAAGAAATTTGTTCCAATTAGAAGCAGTCAGACCAGGAGATCCGAACGGCAGCCTACGTTCAGTAATCTGACCAAGGAGAGGGACGGAAATTGCCGGATCAAGCAACTGGGAATGAAAGCGCGGCCTTGAGAAATAAGCGCATGGCAAATTAGCTGATCTAGCAAGGAGCGCAATTGGCATTTAGAAATGACTGATGTAGAACATCAGTTTGTGTTTTTTTTTTTTTTTTTTTGAAGAAGAAGAAGACAGAACGATAATCAGAAGTAATAATAAGGGGTGGTAAGATGACGGGCTGCTAAGACTGAGGTACGATATATATGAAGCGTGCACGGCGGGGACAGACTGATCGGATGGCCTCCTGCAGAAGCTCTGAGTAATCACGATAGATGCTGAATGCAGCCAAAATTTTGGCCAATAGAAAGATCTCTGGTAGACGGAGATCGGATGATTTAAGAAAAACGGTGACGTCACCTGCTGATCGACTTCAGGGGAGGGAAGAATAAGAGACTAAATTAAAATATTACCCTGAATAATTTAGAATGAGGCTAGGGAAAATATCAGCATGTGTGTAATATAAGTATGCCTGATAGAGGCAGACGAAGCATAAGAGCAAACTCAAATAGATAGAAAATTATGAATGAAAACATGGTTGAATACGTCTTACCCTAAGGCTGGCCCGGCGGGCGTTCCCTAATGTGAATGAGGGGAGGGGGAGGTCCGTCTGAGCAGACAGCGGCAGGGATGACGTGGCAGTGCAGGGATTCCCACGTTTGGAGCGTGCGGACAGCGTCGAAGGATTGAGTGAGAGAGTCCGGTGGAGCGGAGGGAGGCTGAGAGCTGTTAAACGCCAGAAGGACTAGACGGGGGAGCTGCTATGAATCAGGAAGCTGGAGAGGTCCAAGGCTGCATCGAAACGATGAGAAGGAGCGGGCGTAGTGGTGACTGCTGCTGGGACAGATCCGGGAGGCCTTCTGCGCCTGGCGAGGGGAGCGGAGGACTTGCATGACTTTTGCGGCCAGGAATCGGAGCGGATTGAAGCGGAAGGCGAGGGAGATGAATCACGAAGAGGTAGGAGAGAGGCTCGTTAAGACATCTGAGCAGAGTCTAGGTCGGAGCCTGGCAATATACCCTTGGAGTGTAACGCGGAAGAAGGAGATGAGAGCGGCTAGACGGGAGTTTCTCCGAGCGGGGAAAATTGAATTGTCGTCTGGATCGAAATCCGACATTGCGATTGCAGGATAGCGGCTGTGGTGAGATTTGAGGGAGTTTATAAAGTGGAAGCAGGACGCTGATTGGGCTTCGTGGTGGAGTAGTTCAAAGCTGATTGGCTCGCTTCGGAGACGGATCGGCTTCTGATGATGTGAGGTAAGTCAGAGTTTCTTCAATTGAACTTTCGCTAGAGCTTCATAACTTTAAAACATATTAACTGTAAAAGCTATAAATGGGAGCCATGTCTCTGTTTTTCCCTTTAGTTCTTCTCCATTTCTCCAATAAACTTTTTATGTGAGTTTTTTGTGAACCAGAGAGACTGAAGGACTGGTATTATGAAGCAACACTAGTGTTTCTTTTATTGTTAGAAGTAACACTGCCATCTCCTGGATGAGAATATTACAGGACTTCACTTAATCATTTAATCCAATAAGGTGTTTTTTTCTACTATTGGATTAAATGAATGTTTTTTTTTTATTTTGTATTTTTTATTTACATTCATGTTAATGTTTTGAGACCAATACTACACAATAAAAAAAATCCTGTTGTTTTAAAATCCTTTTTTGGGGATTTTTTTTTTTTACATTTATTTTAATGTTTTTAGACAAATCAAATTCTTGATTATTGTCAGAGACATATGCAGAGTAGGCTGTACAGTAATGCAACACAGGAGGTTTGCTACGTTGGTGTAGCTTCTAGCTCCTGAACAGCGGAGGGAGAGAGGCAGTGTCTGTGTCATGGGGGGCTCTGGTCCTTGTTGATAAGGCTGGTAGCAGATGAGAAGAAACTGTTCTTATGGCCAGAGGGAGGTGACTGAATTAGTTTGTGGCTGTGGCTGCACCTGCAGGTGTCTGAATCCACCTGCAGGTGAATTCAGACAGACTCAGGTGGAAGAGCTTCTCCTTAAGCAGAGCTGGGATGATTGTACTGAAGGCAGAGCTGAAATTCACAAACAGAATCCTGGTGTAGGTACCGGTACTGGAGGATGTAGTGAAGGGCCAAGCTGACAGCATTGTCTGCAGACCTATCCTGACCTATCCTGCTATCAGGACACATATATGTCTTTATGAATAAAACAATTTAAAGAAAAGTATATTTATTTTATTAACTGATGGAAATGCCAGGTTCAATTCCTCAAAATAAAAAATTCTAATGATTATATGAGGAATTTTACTAACCTGACGGCAGTCATTTACTCCTTATCCAAAAGTAATTCAGACAGATGCTGGTTCAGAATATTGTATCCTCACATATTAGTTCACAATTGCAGACTTAAGGTGATTATGAAACAAAGACTAATCAAAAGCATGGGGGCATTTAAGTAGGTGTGGACTGTTACTGGATTTACTGCTTCAAGAGCCTCCACTCACAGTATGACATGGCCAGAGGTAACATCTATTGTTCTGATTCATTTTTGAACCAGAGCCACAGGTATTTAACCTGAGCTGGGGGTAAAAAAAAAGACTCTATATAGCTTGAAAAGTATAATTTCTCACAAGGGCTCACAGTTTGCAATTCATTTAAAAACTAAACAAGGGCGAGCTTCAGTGGCAAAATGGTTAATCCGTACGACCGCTCTATGGAGGCCTTAGTCCTCGATGTGGCTGACCCAGGTTTGAATCTCACCTGTGGTCCTTTGCCACGCATCTCTCCCCCTCTCTCGTACCCCCTTTCAAAAAATTAGCCACTAGTGCCATAAAACCTTAATAAAAAATAAAAAAAAATCCTAACACAAAACAAAGCAGAGGCCACTATTAAAGCAACCAGGGCTTTACTTTTTCTAATTTTACATTTTAAATTCATTTCTAATTATAATTTGAATTATAAGTTGCATTTTATGATCAATAAAGGCAATTCCTTATTTTATTTCCATTTGATTTTTCACCTCACATTTCTGAATCTATTTTGCAGTTTATTATAATAATATTATTATTATTATTATTATTATTATTATTATTATTATTATTATTATTATTATTATTATTATTATTATTATTATTATTATTATTATTATTATTATTATTACTAACATTCTGGTCCCTGAGCACAAATTCAGTAAAATAGATCAACGTTGCTCCTCTGATTTTACCAGCTCTCTCATTGGTTAGACTGCCACACTTGGCTCACGAAATGACCAATAAGGGAGCTAGTTACTGTGGACCAACCATCATCTGTGGAGTGAGCACTTTTGGTTTAATGGGTTTTCAGTGTGCTCAGCTACCAAACACATAACTTTAAGGGTAAATGAAGAGGCTGAATGAAAAGAAAAACTACAGAAAGGATTTGACAGAAGGTGAAGAAGAAAATGGAAATAGGATGAGGAATACCCTTTCTAAAGGTGTGATTTATGATCAGATATAAGAAAATATGTTTTTTAAATATTAAAATATATTTTAGTCATTAATCATCTATTAATTAATGATGGATTAATAGATATAATTTGCTATTCCTATCTAATATTTCAATTTAACATGTTTATTTTGTGGAAAATATGTTTTTAAAACACTGAATTTTTAAAAGGTAAACTGGTTAGGGTGAAATCCATGTTAGGGTTATTTAAAAGTGAAGATTTTTTAAAGTTTTTTCTTTTTTCATGGAGGACATAATAAAAAAACGTTCTTTAAAAAAACGACCCCTTGTGGCCTGCTGTGAAATGAATCTCATTACGGTGCATTAGAGAGATTTGTACATCCATTCTGCCTGCTTCCCTGGTCCACCTCACTACAATAGCCAGGCTCTGCTCTGCAGGAGCGCCTCTGTCGGCTCAGACTGACGCGCCTTAAAGCAGCGCCACACGCATCTTTACCGCTACCGAGACGCGTAAAATCAGGAATATGGTGCAACTCTGAAGGTGAGTAAATATATATTGGTTATCGAAATGCTGTATTTATGGTAATGGGACTAGGGTGGAGGCTCGTTGCCAACAGACAGAGAGGAAAAACGACCTCATAGGAATTAAGTTCACTGCTGCAGCGACGAGGAAGGACGATTTAAAAATGTCCCTCTTACCAAACAGATGTTCCCTCCTAATCTCTTTTATTTTAAATATAGCTTCTAATCAGGGCAGCGCTATAAAAAAAACGCACCAATAATGACTGATCTAATGACTGCACATCACATAGGCCAATGAACCAGGTTGGCAATAACGCAGTAATAGATCAGTAACACCCTCCTCTCAATACACAGGCTGTTTGGAGACGAGGCAGCCTCTGCAGGGCATCGCCATCACCAGCAGCTGTCTGTAGGGCTGCACAGCTGGATGAGGCGCTGCTGTGTGTCTTCTCTGGTGCTGTCTCTCATGGAGGGATGCTGTGAAAAAGGGGCTACAGTTATTTATTATTGAGCAGTGCTGATAGGAGAGTCTGGACACTGTGAGAAGAGGGGAACTCCTGATTAGATGAGTCATATCAGCTCCTGCAACTAGAGATCAAAAGAAATGGGGTTGCTTTGCCTTTGTTCTCTTTAAAGCCAAGGTTTCTGACTGGCTGGGCAGGATGTAAGAAGAAACAGCATTACCTTAAGGCTAAAGTTCCGTCAATGTGATGCAAGATTATTTACAGTGGTCTACACAAAGATTTAAAAGCACTTTAATGAGGGCTGGATGGGGCTTCTGTTCTCCAGCGATGGCTCTTCCTGCTTCTTCTCTCTACTGTACTTTAACTTAGTTCCACATGAATGGATCGAAGGGGGGCTAAAGTTTGCATTCCTGAGAAATGTGTCAGATCTTAACTTTCTCCTTTTACTCTGTGGGTGTGTTTGGGAGGGGGCGTTGCAAAGTGAGGTAAGACAGGAGTCAATCAGAGGTCAAGGATTGGCTTTCTGCACATATTTAAGAAATATTTCTGCAGCCGGAATGTTCAACAATGGTTACTATATAGGATGTGAGGACAGGAGGAATCAGGAAGAAGGCTTGTTTAGGTTTGAATTGTAAAAGTATTAATATTTCCTAATCTCCACGTGTTATCACAATGAAGACATACATTCTAGTGTAATTTTCAGAATAATTGTGACAAACCTAGACATAGTATCACATGATTGTGAAGTGGAAGTGAAATGTGCAAGAGCTTTAAACATTCTTTCAAATAAAAATGTGATTTTTTATTTTTAGCAACATTTTCTCTGAAAGTCCTAGATACATCCCTCAGCCACTAAGTGCCTGGTGAAAAGTGTTGTAATTTATTCTCAGAAGAAGATCCAACCATTAATGGAAGGCATAATAGGTTTGTTAGAGAAAATGAAGGAATGCAACAGCAAACCTGCCAAGATATGATGCCTTTCCTAAACTGACAGGCCATTTAACCAGAAGTGGATTAGTTAGAAAAAATATTGCAACTCTTAGGAGCTGCTGAGGTCCCTATCCCAGGAAGGAGATTATTACAGTATGATGGTGGCAGCATCATGCTCTGGGGTTGCTTCTCTTTAGCAGGGAAGATAGTCAGAGTTCATAGAAAGCTATAGAGCCAAATACAGGACAACCATGGAAGAAAACCTGTTGGAGTCTACAAAAGACTTGAGACTGGAATTTACGTTCACCTTTCAGTGGCACAACAACCCTGGAATGGTTTAAAACAAAACATATTCATGTGTTAGAATGTTCTCAGTCGAAGTCCAGACCTAAACCAAATCATGAATATGTTGGAAGATCTGAAAGCTGCTGTTCACAAATGTTCTCCGTTTTATCTGACTGAGCTTGAGCTGTTTTGCAAAGAAAAAACAACAAAATTTGTAGTCAGTTGATCTGCAAAGCTGGTAGAGAGATATCCCAAAAGACTTGCAAATGTAATCATAGCAAAAGTTGCTTCCACAAAGCGTTGACTCAGGGAGGCTGATGCTTTTGCACAATGCCTCTTTAATTTTCTTTATTAGTATGAATTTCTCTGTTCTTCATAATTGTATAACACATTTTGTTTATTGTTTAATGTGCCAAAATGTGGGAATGTTCACTGGGTATGAATACTTTTCCAAGCCATTGTAAATAGTGGAAAAGGAAGGTAAAACACCTCTATAACAGCAAGAAACCTGAAGCAAAACCAGGCTGTTTGATGCTAAAAATCTGTTATGTGTGTAGCTGGAATATAATAAAAAAATATGTAAATACTGTAGAACAAAAACCTGTTTTACAATATTAAACCTGTCTATCATTTTCTTTTTCCTTTACATTTATAACAATGATTTTTGTGGCTTAATAGTGACAAAATTTGAAATAGAAAATCTCAAGGGGTTTTAATACTTTATCATAGCACAGTGTAATTTGTGTGCTTGAATTCCAGCAGGAGTGAAATCTGCTAATGAACAGGTGTCACTCTGGGTTAGCCAAAGTCCACAGAGGGATTGGAGATTGTATTTACAATAAATGCCACTGGCAAACCTCTACACATACACACAGAGAACATGTCAGCCTGTATTCGATTCAACAAACTCAACTATTGTTTTTTTCTTCTTTGTTTTTGCTGCATTTTTTTACAGAATAACACTAAAAAAAATCCAATAGGCAAAGGTAGTGATGCACTGCAGTATGAATTGTGTCTTTACAGATTGGGAATTTAGTCATTTGTTGACTGCTTAGGCTTCATGAAACAGTCAGCTGCTTCATCAGGCCGATTATGGTGTTGTAATACCACCAGAGCAGGGTGTGCATGAAGGAAGGAAGGAAGGCACAGTGGCTAATGGGTGTGAGAGGGAGGGCACAGATGCTATGGTAACCATGATTCTGCAGGAGCTATCAGCCATTTAGGGTGCCAAGACAGTGCTGGATACTTTGATGAAATCATTTTCTGTTTCACTCATCATCCTTACTGGATAACATCTTATATTTAGAGGCTAAAAAATTTATTTAATGGTCTGTTGCAGCTTTAATTTTGAAAGGGCATCGACGCATCAAGAGTCAAGTCTGGGTTTTTTTGGCAAAAGGAAGCCTGTAGCATCCCATCAGCCTGCATGTGGTTATTATATTAACTCCTGCTGTGCAGCAGGCCCCTTCCATTAAACAAACATATTAATGAATGTTTGTTTTACATTAGTGTCGGTTTCTGCCCTTGTGACTCCCTTAGTGCAGCCAAGCGGAACGATGTGCATCGATGCAACTTCAGTGCGCTTGAGGATATATTTTCTACACTGGATGAAATCCTAAATGAGCGCAGTTCTAAGAGTCAGTTTAAAAAAGTATGCTCACATGCAGATTTCATTTTTTTTTTCTTGCATATTTATTGTTATGTTTGACTTGTAATTGATAGTTTTTCTTAGCCTGTGGCTTCAATTCTTCCACATGCCCTGGTTCACATGCCTCCTCATCATTGTCTCGTGCATGAGTGGGCTTTTCACTGGTATCCTCTTGGCCCACATACGACAGCCACGCGCTCAGTGTTCAGCACTGAAGGGGTTAACAGCTTTGATTCAGGCTTATTCATTTAACCATATGGGTTCTAGAGGGGATGAAAGACTATTGTTTGCTGTTTGGGTCCTTTCCCTACGCCATCCCCCACTTAATAGAAATATATCAAAATAAATTCCTCTTGGCAGGAGAGATTGATTTGTGCTCTTAGAAGGGGCCTTGAGTGTTGGGAAGGCAATTGTGGACGCTGCAGATGTCAGTAGGAAAATTTGATTTGAGATTTTGTTTTGGAAAATTATGGCTGTTTCATAAGGTTTGTCTTCATCATTGACAAGCTGAAAGATATGCAGTTTTAACACTGTTTACCCTGCTTTTAGATTTAAAATGCACACAAAACTGAAACAGATGTGTTTTAGTTCTGAATAATAAAAGGAATAATACATTTTGGAGGGGAAAAGACCACAAATGTTCAGGTTGGTTTATTCGTCCTGCAGGACAATCCTTACATTTCAGTTTTCACAAACATTTTTCTAAATCAAATGACCAGAAATAATTTTTCAGCAATAGCTGGTTTCTCTTCATCACAGTGATCTCCTCCTGCTGTGTTTTATGAGCTAATTTAGATAAGCCATGCATCATTGGCTCTAGAGACAACCAATAGCTTGTAAATGATGTGCAGAATAATTCGAGTTATTAGAAGGAGGTGGTGCTGGTACTGACGGCTGGTTGTCAGGACAACAGCTGAGAGACAGACAGGGCGTAAATCTAAATGAATGGTCATGCATGGTGAGGCAGTAAGGTATCACGCTGCACCATTTCTGGGCCAAGAGTGTTCCAGATACAGCCCCCGCTTATTGGAAAATGTTGAAGGCATGATGGGAAGTCAGAATTGCTTTAATATTTCATTTAGTACAGAACATTCCATAATTTATTTGTTTTGGGAGAAACAAGACTTTTTTTCTGTTTGTTGTTTTATAAAAAAGCAATTTGTTTTAACCACCAGCAGGGAATTCAATGATGATTTTTTTTTTACAGTACTTTTTTTTTTCTTTCTTGTAAGCAGTTGTTTTAGTCTCAATACGAAAAAAGCAAATCGGATATTTCAGACCTGTAAAGAAAATATTTATTACAAACCTGAGGTTTAATTTGAATAAAACAATAGAAAAAAAATACATTTTTCAGATTTTTGTCCTGAAGTTTTAGTGTGATTATCTAAATAAATGTTATATGTTAACATAAGGCAGAATTTGATAATATATTTCATTAATTTTAACCAAATGCACTAAATACACAATTTCTTCTGTTTGCACAATATAATCAATAATCCATATTTATTTAAGCAAGTTGAATGCACAATCCCTCTATATTCTCTATATTTAGTCACTTTTCAGCCATTTGTGAATTAAATGTTGCTTTCATATGTCAAAATGTATATCCTAATGTTTGTTTGTTTGCTTGTGATGAATGAATTAATGAATGAATAAATACTTGAATAGATAAATGAATTAATAAATGCATTACAACTGAAGCATCCGATTAGATTAATAGATTATTGAAATAATCCTCAATTCATTCACCAATCAATAAATCCTTAACTGGAGTATACAGACTCTAAGACATGTGATTATCTGACAGAAAAACCTACTCAGAGCAGTAATTATGCCTTACACCTTTCAGGCCTCCATAACTATACGGCCAGAGCTACAATGAACCAGTTTAGGTCAAATGATATTTATTATTTGATGGGACCAATCAGAGTCCAGAACCAAATCCAGCTAAGTCTGTGGCAGGATTTTAAAAAATGATAATAAATCTGACTGTTCTTGAGCCAGTTTGCAGTGAACAATGAATGAGCAATACATCTGTAGATGGATATGTTCCTTAAACCAGCTGCAGCTCTACTCTTGAAAACCACATATAATTTCCCTTCCAGTTTACAGCTATGCACAGCCTTGTGATGTCTATCTGCCATACAAAGTCCCAATAAAACACATCACAAAAATATCAAAAGATGCAAACGTATTTGTATAGCACTGTTAGTATTTTTGAGAATAATTTTTAAGCAGTTTTATTTGTTCTTGTTTTCTTTATGGTTAAAGGTTTTGCAGAGAATTGTGTTTTTTATTTATCAAAGAAAATAAGCTTTAAACTTCTAGAGTGTTCAAAGCAGTCTTTGTTGTGGAACATTTCAAAGTGTCTGTTTTTAGGTCGGGTTTTAATAAGTCTTTCCACATAAAGTTTGTCTCATAAATCGTTCTTTGCTGAGTGTGCAAACTGAGAGTGGAAAAAAAGTCAGTATATACGCAACGCAAACATTACACCCAAAAAGACTGGTTGGAGTAAAAAGGTATTTTTAAACATAGATTTATTTAAAGTTACTAATATGTAATACAAGGAATCATAGATTGTATCTGAACTGTATTTGTTAGATGCTAATAGCGGGTTGGAAGCGCCCCTCAGACTACTCTGTGTTTATCTCTCAGGTTTATGTGGCATTTCGGCTCTTTGGGATAGCTCTCAGTCGCCGGGGATTTCTGAGGCCAGCCTTCAGAGACCGCATACCTCGTCTTCCCACTCCATCTCGCAATTCCTTTCACGTGACTAGCCGCTGCTCATACTCCTACCCCACTGCTGGCACTGAACTCTGCAGGGATGGACACTGAGTCGACCCACTCTGGCTACTCCAGTCGGTCTGGGAGGTCAAACCGCCACGGGTATGTTTCCTGTCTGTCTGTCTGACCTTCAGTTTCTCTGTTGGAATGTTTTTATTTGATCACAACAGAGCCTATATTAGATAAGCTTTTCTAGTTTGTTTTTTCATTTGTCGCCCAGCAGATGAGATTAGAGACTAAAATAGATATAAACTAAGCTGGAGATTGATATGTACAAAGCTTGAGGATTAGGGTTATCCCAGCTGTGTGGCCCAAAAATCTTTTTCATTAGTAGAATAAGTCTAGTTCTAAATGAAGGAATATTTTTTATCATTACTTTTACAGCCCAAGTCCATACTTAACTATGATAAGTTTATATATTTTACTAGACGCATTCTTGTATCTCTTTTAGAATAGAATAAAATGGAATAGAATAGACTTCATTGTATTGTCATTACACTGTCACAAGTACAAAGCAAAGAAATGTAGTTTGCATCTATCCAGAAGTGCTATAAAGATATGATTATTTATTTACATGTACACAGAGACTATGAATGTATTGACTATAAATGGTATGTATAAACAGAGAGTAACTGTAAGAGGCTATAAAATAAATAAACATGAAACTGTATACATCTTATACGGAAAAGTTAGGATATGGATGATAATATATGATGATGATTATAACCCCACTTATTATATATATATATATATATATATATATATATATATATATATATATATATATATATATATATATATATATATATATATATATATAAAAACCTAGATTTAAGTTTATACATATAGGGCCTAATCTTCAATGTTTCCAAATAAGAGCCGCTAACTTGTAATTTTTTTTTAGTATGTGCAATAAGTTGGTGTGGTGAAAGAATGTTGTGGTAATATTAAGACATGAAAAACAATTTGGTTCGTCCCATTGATGTAAGCAGACTGTTCGTTCTACAGGCATTTTGAGAGTGCTGATAAACTAAAAAAATAAGGTTGAAAGCCATAAAGATTGAGGTAGCATTAGGAAAATACAAAATGATATACAGAATAGAAAATTATGTTATTAGAATTCAAATATAGCCAGAACAAAAAACATATCTCTTACACTCTATATGTCTCTTTGCAGGCTCTTTTGAAGCTAATTTTTTTATGAATATGCCACCACATTTAATTTCTTTCTTTTTTTTGTTACATAGCTTAATTGTAAAAAGATTGTCTGCAGTTCCGCTGCATTAATTTGTGCCACCTATATACACTTCATTTTATATATATATATACTCCTACAGTAGTATTATTTTTGACAGTCCAAATGTGTTTACATGTGCACGGGATATCTCTTCATTGTGGCAATATGACTGCAGATATTTTTTCATGTCAGTGAGCACCTCAATTTCAAAAGTCCTTAAAAATGCACAAAGTTTCTGATTAGCAAAAACCGTTTTGAGCCTGGTTAATGTTGTCATTTGCATATCCTTGTCAAAATTGCTTTCTCTAAACGGATATAGACAATTAACAAATCGAACAAAGAAAAAAGGAGCAGGCCTTTAGAATTTGGATGGATGGATGGATGGATGGATGGATGGATGGATGGATGGATGGATGGATGGATGGATGGATGGATGGATGGATGGATGGATGGATGGATGGATGGATGGATGGATGGATGGATGGATGGATGGATGGATGGATAGATGGATGGATGGATGATTCCACACTTACTAAAATTGTATCCATTAATCAATCTATATCAGGGGTCTTCAACATTTTCCAGGCAAAGGACCGCCTAATTATATATATTGTATGAAATTATGTCATATCAAACTGGTTCTATAGTCCCTCTATTACAGATGGAGTCATGTAACGAAAGTTATTTTGCCCTTCGATGATTAAAGTATTTCTTAATCCTCGTTGATGGGACAGGTGTTGTGAAGGAAACGGTGCCCAGCTTTGAAAGAGCTCCTGTGTGTCACTGAATGTGTGCATTGATGACTGAAAGACATCTTCTGCCTCCATTTATCTGTTTACTACAGTGTGTTGAATGTTAATGTGAATTTAAATGCATTTCAATTACTGGAAAAAAATTAAAGGTGGAATATTAAAAAAAGTGTAATAAACCAAAACTTTCGCTACCTACATGCAGTACCTCTGCGAACCTCCTGTTGAAGACCTCCGATCTATATGGATATTACATAACATTTTCCTGTCTGTTATTCTTGCTTGCCTAATTTCTAGAGATCGAGGCCGAGAAAGACACAAAGGTGGCAGCAGCAAGGACAGCACTCGCTCTGAGAGGTCAGTGGTCATCAACCCGCCTGATACGCCATCCAACGAATCCCCTGTTCAGAATGAAGAGCCACTGCCTGGAGAACCATCAGCAAATGCGGACCCTGGAGATGAAGCACAGGTATCTGCACTTATTCCACCCTTCCTTAGATCAGTAAGCAGGATTAAGCTGAAACTAAAGAAATATAGCAACACCAAAAGAAGTGGAATTTATTTTTTTAATTACGAAACATGCGTTCTAAAAATGTCCCCATTGTAATCACATTATTTTTAGAGCAAATCCTGTTAATCCTCATAGGAACTTGGTATACTGACCCAATAAACTCATGCTACTAACACAGCTGGCTGCCCACTGCTTTATATAAAACAACAATGGTCCTGTAAGATCAAATAGGTCAGCCGATAAGCATCTCTCTTGGAAGCAGAGACGGATTTGTAGTCGGCGCTGGGTTGCACTGTGAATGCTGTTGATGCCGTGTGAGTTTGGCTCTATAAAAAGGACATAATGAAACCAGCAGAAGTCGTTAAGTGAGGCCGAAGCAAGCTGATGAAATTAGCTTTTCATTTCCAAACAAGAAAATAAATCCCTGATCATGCTCTTATAAAAGAGGATTGGAGATGCTTTAAATATGAAGATCATGTTGCAAAGAAATTATTCAAATTGTTGGCAGAGCCATATATAAGAGGCTTAATGGCGGCTCATTGTGCCACAGAGTTAGAACAAAAACTGGAAACAGCCTGTCTCTTTTCCTAAAAAATGACTTCCTTTTTTCTTTATTCTCACAGAAGCACCCCCCGTAAGAAAACAGTCTGTTGTTTTTACATATTAGGCTACAGGTGTTTCCCAAAATCTCTCACTGTTTTGCACTAAAGCTAAACGAGTTGCAAAGAGAGGAAAAATATGTGGGTAAAGAGAAGTCGAGTTTCTGTTTATCTAGCACTTTCCAATGGCCTTCACAGTGTCTCTGACCTACATTAAATGGATTTAAATATCAAAACTATTTTTCATTTTATGAGTTAACATTTATATTAGAGAGCTGTTGAATTCATATATAAGCTATTAAACTGGCTCTAAGTTTGTCTTCAGTCTCATGTTTTGATATTTCTTTAGAGGTTGTAGATTTTCCCTCTCTGTGTTCTGTGTGCCCTTCTGGCGGCATAGTGACATTCCACACATTCCCCACTGGCATGTGATGGTCCGCTTGCGGCTCCTATCCTTTGTCGATGGTGTAAGGTGATCAGCCATTGTGCTGCATCTTTCCCAACAGAAAAAATGTGACCAAATGGAAAAGCAGAATTCACAGCCCTTTCGTTACTATCTACCAATTTCACCATATCCACTCTATCCTGGACTTTTAGAAGCAGCGAACGTCGGCAGGCAGAGCTGATGAAATACGAACTGGTAGCCAATGGATTTAGACTGTTATTAGCCTGGGTTTCCTGCCAAATGCCACTTTGGAGAAAACTGATATGAATAATCCTCCTTTTTTGTTGCATGCACAGCATAGGGATATGCTCTTAGAGTGGAGTTATAGTGAGTCTGCTACTGCTGAGCCTGTCCATGCTGCTTTGTGAGAGACTTTGTGCCAGGAGGAAGCAGCTTTAGTTTCCTCGCACTGTTAACTCAAGCAACACCAAAGCATATGTTACCCTTATAGGGTTTGACTATTCGTCTCTTTTGCTTTCTGCCTGTAGAAGTCAACATCCCTACTCGCAATCTTAAGACATGAACAGCTTGTAATTTGATGTCAATAAACATACCTAAACATTAAAGGAAGGCAGTCATTTACACAAAAGAAAAAGCACTCTATCATATGTGGCACTGAACCTTTTCCAACAAAAACAACCGACATGTAGCGCTGCATCCGGAGCAGCACAGGGCTGAGGCATTGTGGATGGCAGCATTAGAGTATTTGTTCTGTTACTGTGCTTTAATGGTGAAAGTAAGCTGATTTTTCACTTTCACTATCTATCAGATTGAAATATTCTATCTTTATCATTAAAACCATGCAGTGTTTGACAAATTAACTTGTTACACCATAATCATCAATAGTACTTTATAGTGATTTGTACCCAACATACCAAATCAAAGATGTGCTAAATAGTTAAGTGTAATTATTTTTATTTTTTTCAAGTTTCTCAACTAATGTAAATCTCAAAAAAAAAACAGTCCACTTTTGCATAAAAGCAAAATGAATCTTACAAAATTTTGAACAACTTTTTTTCGGCAGTTACTGCAGCAAGTCTATTGGGATGTGTTTCTATTTAGAGATCGAAATTGTTGCTTAACCTATTTTTACAAAATGACTCCAGCTTACTTTGATTGGATGCAGAGGGTTGGCAAATGACCCATCCCCTGCAGAAGGCACCACCCCTGCCTGCCCAGAAAAAACTATGTCCACTTTCTCTGATCAGCAATTGGCTGATGTAAGGCAAAATGTGATAATTTCTTTAAGCACCTAGTCTGCTTAATGATATCAAATGTTCATTTTTTGGCTACAGAAAATGTCTAAGTAACGAAAAAGTGATTTTGGCTACAAGTGATCTCAGACTTTTTTTTCATTCAGCCTAAAGGCAAGTTGATAGTCTTTCTTCCAGGTTAAAAAAAAACAAAAGACAAAAAAAAACATATTTCCTACGGTAAATATGTCCACAGCTGCCTATTGAAAGGTTAAAAAAAAAGGTTGTTTTTGCAACTTCTTCAGTTTTTTTTCTCAGAATTGTCCTCTAGCCTCACCCATATTCACATCAACTCTGATCTACGTCTCCATCTTTGTTAAAGAAAATCATCGCAACAGCATCATAATACCACAACCATGTTTAACTATAGAGACTGTCTGCTTATAGTCGTACAGAGCATTGCATCATTTGGTCAAACAGTTCAGGTTTGTTCAAACAAACCTGTTAATGTTTGCTGTTTCTCATTCCTTGGCTGAGAGGACATTTTAAAATACACCTTTGTTTCAACACCTGTTTTATTCTAGCCTCCTTTAGAGGAGTTGCAGAGGTTTACACCTCTGCAGGTTACTGCAAACCTCTTGTTCGCTTCTCTGAATAATTGCTATCCGTGCCATGCATGCAAGTTCAGTTAGAAAACCATGTCTTGGAAGGTTTGCTGTTGTGCTTACTTTACCTATATCATGTGGCATACTGTTCTGTCCTAACTGAGACATCCTAAGCATGGAGAACAGTTTTATGACCTAACTTCTCCACGACGGTGTCCATGACCTGTCTACTGTTACTGGCTCTTTATGATGCTGTCTGTTCAATAATGTTTTCCTGCAAAACTCTGAGGCCTTCACAGATCAGCTGCATTTACAGGTGCTGGTCATAAAATTAGAATATCATGAAAAAGTAGATTGATTTCAGTAATTCCATTTAAAAAGTGAAACTTGTATATTATATTCATACATTACATACAAACTCATATATTTCAGATGTTTATTTTGTTTAATTTTGATGATTACAAATGACAACAAATGAAAATCTCAAATTCATCATATCAGAAAATTAGAATATTGTGAAAAGGTTCAAAATTGATGGCCCCTGGTGCCACACTCTAATCAGCTAATTAACTCAAACCACCTGCAAAAGCCTTTAAATGGTCTTTCAGTCTAGTTCTATAGGCTACACAATCATGGGGAAGACTGCTGACTTGACAGTTGTCCAAAAGACGACCATCGACACCTTGCACAAGGAGGGCAAGACACAAAAGGTCATCGCTAAAGAGGCTGGCTGTTCACAGAGCTCAGTGTCCAAGCACATTAATAGAGAGGCGAAGGGAAGGAAAAGATGTGGTCGAAAAAAGTGTACAAGCAAGAGAGATAACCGCACCCTGGAGAGGATTGTGAAACAAAACCCATTCAAAAATGTGGGGGAGATTCACAAAGAGTGGACTGCAGCTGGAGTGAGTGCTTCAAGAACCACCACACACAGACGTATGAAAGACATGGGTTTCTGCTGTCGCATTCCTTGTGTCAAGCCACTCTTGAACCACAGACAGCGTCAGAAGCGTCTTGCCTGGGCTAAAGAGAAACAGGACTGGACTGCTGGTGAGTGATCCAAAGTCATGTTCTCTGACGAAAGTAAATTTTGCATTTCCTTTGGAAATCAAGGTCCCAGAGTCTGGAGGAAAAGAAGAGAGGCACTTCATCCACGTTGCTTGAAGTCCAGTGTAAAGTTTCCACAGTCAGTGATGGTTTGGGGTGCCATGTCATCTGCTGGTGTTGGTCCATTGTGTTTTCTGAGGTCCAGGGTCAACGCAGCCACATACCAGGAAGTTTTAGAGCACTTCATGCTTCCTGCAGCTGACCAACTTTTTGGAGATGCAGATTTCATTTTCCAACAGGACTTGGCACCTGCACACAGTGCCAAAGCTACCAGTACCTGGTTGAAGGACCATGGTATCCCTGTTCTTAATTGGCCAGCAAACTCTCCTGACCTTAACCCCATAGAAAATCTATGGGGTATTGTGAAGAAGAAGATGCAATACACCAGACCCAACAATTCAGAAGAGCTAAAAGCCACTATTAGAGCAACCTGGGCTATCAAAACACCTGAGCAGTGCCACAGACTGATCGACTCCATGCCACGCCGCATTGCTGCAGTAATACAGGCCAAAGGAGGCCCAACTAAATACTGAGTGCTGCACATGCTCATACTTTTCATGTTCATACTTTTCAGTTGGCCAACATTTCTATAAATCCTTTGTTTTTATTGGTCTTCAGTAATATTCTAATTTTCTGATATGATGAATTTGAGATTTTCATTTGTTGTCATTTGTAATCATCAAAATTAAACAAAATAAACATCTGAAATATATGAGTTTGTATGTAATGTATGAATATAATATACAAGTTTCACTTTTTAAATGGAATTACTGAAATCAATCTACTTTTTCATGATATTCTAATTTTATGACCAGCACCTGTATAACGATGAAGTGAGCCTTATAAATGAAATCTTACTTACTAAGATGTTCCTGAAGGAATTTAGTTGCAAGGGGATAAAAACCCTTAATGCAAATAACTTTTCAGATTTACTTTTTCAAAAGTTTTGACCCAATCATAGTTTCTCAATTATGTGCAACTGAATGGGAATGTAATGTACTATCCTATACAATCCAACTAAAACACATTGAAATAAAAACACTCTTAGTGTTTCTATAACATGACAAAATCTGAAAAACTTTGAGGGACACCAATACTGTAGCATGGCATGGAAAAATCACATCCAGTACAACAAATCATATTTTATGCTAATCTGTTAGCTTAATCAAGCACACAGTACCCCATTAGTAGCAAGGCTGAGATGGTTTCTTGCAAATTGAATAAATTCAAGAATAATAGACGAGGAACTCAGGGTCCAAAACTAGGAGACACCAGGGAGAAACATAAATGAGGAATGAAGAGAATCCAGCAATGAGGAACTGCAGAGGAGGACTATACTGTATACTCTGACTCTGACACTATCAAAGAGAACAAAGAGAAGAGTAATCAGTTAATTGGGAGCAGGTGTGGACAGAAACAGCTAGAAAGGAACTAAGCATTGTATCCAGGGTACATGTCATTTTATTTTACATTCCTGATAAAGAATAACATTTCTTGTTTCTATTATAAGACCCTACTGAAAATAGGATGACTGGAGAAAGAAACAAAAGAAAAAAGCTTGAAAGAGAATGGATTTGGTCTTAAAAGACGCCACCGTTCCAATGAAAATGTCTGTTTCATTCATTAGCCTTACAGACACTACAGGATGTAATACATCTGCACCCCACTCTCCCTCAACCTTTCCTTCTTTCTGCTCTTCTGCACTTGAATTGCACCGTACCAACTGCCATCCCCCTCTCTGACTTCCCTTCCCTCTGTATCCTTTTTTTTTCATGCTCATTTATCTTCTAGCTCCCGTTGGCATCCCATCCTCCAGCAAGGCTGAGTTAATTGGCTGTTAACTGCAGAGAAGAAAATAATCTCTACTCATTTGGTGTCTTTCTGCAGTTGTAATTTAAGATTTCACCTTCTAAAATTAGGACTATTGCTTTCTTCATTTGTAACGGTTAATTCAACCTCTTAATGACCTAAAATGACTCTTTATGCAGAGGTATAAACACCCCCCAGACAGATGATCATTTAGGTGACCGTCTGTGGTCTCGTTTTCCAGCAGCTCCGCAGTGATCTCTGGTTGTGCGTGCAGCCTGATGTGCTTTGGTGTATGTGTGAGTGCAGACGTGTGATGATATGAAGGCTGTTTTGTTCGGTTTGCCATTTTTTCCAGCCCTCATCCATCCGTGCCTCTGCAGCTGCTGCTCCAATGAATGGTTGTAGTTGGCAAAACACAGCAGCACTCTTGGGAACAATAATTAGCTGCCTGAATCAATGACAGACAAACAAAAAAAATACTTCCTTCACATTTACTCTGCCTGTCTCTTTGCTGGTGTTGGAAATATATTTGCCTTAATACAGCTCAGCTGTTCACATAGTTATTCATATTTAGGGATAATAATTTATAATGATGGACATGCAAATCTGGGGCATTTGTTGTTGTCATGCATAGCCATGCTTTATAAATTAAGCTGCATTTGAATCTTCCTGCATACCCTAATCTGTTTATTAAGTTGATTCAGATAGATTTTCTAAGCCTAAAACTATAAGGTGAAGAAAATAGTAACATAAACATTTTTTTATTTATGTCTTATGGATTATTAGAAGAAATATTCCTGTATTCCACCTTTTCAAAACAGCTGTGTGTCCCATTTGATCATGAAATGGCAGTAGATTCTTAAAATCTCTGACACCTAGCTGCTGCTGCTGGGTTTGTCAGCTCGATAAAAATGTTCTATCTTTATGTTTACAGAATATCCAATTAAAACTCTAGTTTGAGCTACAAGATGGAACACAGTGTTGAAGGAAAAACCTGGAGTATCTCAAGTTATTTCAACCTGGAAAGACTCAGACAGAGAAAAGCTGTGATTAAAAGGGTTTTATTGACATGAATGGAATAAGTTCTTTGGCGCTCAGGCCCTGGCAGAAGACCTAGATGCTATGAATCGACACTTGCTATGATGATTAATCTAGGAGAAGGATTAGAGTAGTCTTCATCCCGGGGCTTGGACACTGGTGGTTGAATTAACAGAGAATCAGTGGGACTGAGAATAGTCTGAGAGTAAAAGATGGGGCGGAGGTGGGTAAAAGTTTGCAAATGTGCAGGAGAGAGATGCTAGGCCAGGAGCTAAATAAAGGCTTCTGAGAAGCTACAGCCCTGAGTTGATTGGCTGAGTCTTGAATGTGGGACATCACAATTGGTTCATGTGAACCTGATAAGAGTCTTCCAGATTTAATTTTATGATGGTATATTAGCTCAGAATTTAGATCTTAGAGCTTCAGTAGGAAAGCGGATTGCTGTGCTCTGGCTAAACAAGATTATAACTATGGTTGCAGCCCATCCTTTACAAATGGTACCCTAGATTCATGAAAGCAGATTACATTTGGTCTGTCCCTGTTCCCTGCATGTTGTAATCTTGTAATTTCATTGTTTATTATGAAATATTTCCATGACTTAGTAAAAAGCATTTGAAAATATTTGAGCATTTCTCCAAATATTCCACCTGCCACTTTTAATGCAGGGTGTATTTCAGCAGACCTTTTCTGACTTTGCATTCATGACTTCCTAGTAGAAACACAATTATTAGGTATAACTTTTAAGTTTTATATCATTTGGGGAAACAGTAGTTTTTCTCTATGAATGTGCTATTTTTACACTTTATACTTTTACATATTATTTTTCTAACATTGGAAACTTATGAGCAGTGTTTATTCTCTTCGCTCTGGCAAAGCAGCCATGCACTGTTTGGTTGTTGCTAATGCTATGATCACATCTATGTTATTCTGATGTTTCCATTTATGCACTCCCTTGTCAGGTTGGATGCCTCTGTTTAATTGGACGCAGCTGATAAATGTATTTATATACATCCTATTTCAGACCTCTCTGAAATTAGCATTTCATCTGTATTCCTTTATATTAATATTTATTTTTTTCTGAACTCAGAAATCAATGTGTGAAAGTTTTTTATAATACAGCATAAGGAATGAAAAAAAAAACAGGTCAAGTTTTGAACATTGAAGCTATTTCATAGCTGTGATGGACCCTGATTTATTTACCATGTTCTCTGATTTCTCATGTAGGTTAAATAAACGCTGTTCTTCTTTATATTTGTGTTTAAAAAATTATTTGTTAGCTGTTTATAAAATATGCAGGCAGAGGAAAGGAAACGATTGTAATGAAACTCTTAACTGTTTGGGTTAACTGAGTCAGACCATTGCTGATTCGATCTGAAGCCGGCCCCCGCAGAAATAATCTTCCTTTAAAAAGGTCACCAGCAAACATCCAATAACTGGTTTTGAAACCAAATACAATATGTGGGGTAGAATAAGCAGAATAAACTTGACCCGATTAATACAAACATCTGTTTCCACAAAACAAAAGCAAAGTAAACCAATTTATCAATGTTAAAGTGCAGTTAAATTAGCTGTTTATCAAACATAGTATTTTTCCTCTGTGAACCTGTTTGTTGTCAGACCTAAAGAGTTGATAAACCATTTAGATAGGACTTGTATGATAATGCCAAGTCAGCTGAAATTATTTCAAATATTTAGTTTTATTCTAAAAGATATTCAAGAAAAAGATGAGGCGTTTATGTCTGTCACCCTAGAAAAAGCTCTCAGATTAAATTCTAAGCTATTGGTGCTGCAGTGACCAGTAGTGGAGCCAGAGCATTTTTATAAGGATGGCCGGGTGCCAAAGCCAGTTCAGGGTCGAGCTCCACTAATCACACTGTACTAAAGCAGAAAATGAACCAGTATAAATTACTGAAGACAGACCAAATTTTCATTAGACTCTGTCAAATAAATCTACACCCATATGAACATCTGTGCTGTCTAAATGAATAATTTATGGTGCCCACATTAAATGAGCAGTTGTTCCTAGACTACAAGATGACTTCAGGGACAAATCACTTTCCCTTCTCCCCCACAACACACACAAACCAGTTCTCAAAAGAGTCTTAATTCTGTATTTTTTACCTTAAATCTTAGTATACTTATGAGAATAATTCATTGTCACATTTTTTTTTTTCTCATTTGGGGTGAATTTACTCATAATTGAAATGGCAGAGAGAATCACTGCTGCCACCCTCTGGTTTAGAGAAGAACTGCTTGTTGTGAATGCGGTGAATTCGATTCATCATGAAACAGCTATTCATCCAGTAAGGCTGGCCAGTGATTGGCTTTAGGGGGCCACGGCCGCCACTCCCTAGCTCCACCCCTGGCAGTAAGTGAGAGCCATTTTTCATACACAGAGAACACTTGGAGCAGCAGTGAACCTCTTCAGAAGTGCCCAGTCTATAAAGACCACTGTGAGTGCACAGTGATAGATGCTGCAGGAGCTCACTACAGAACCCAGAACAGCTAAAGGATTGCACATCTCATTTAGCTCAGTCAAGGTCACAGTAATTAAAAGAAACATGACTTTGGCTCCTTTACCAAAAATCCTGAAGCAGAGTGCTTTGCCATAATCTCTTAATCTTTGATTATCCAACAGATATAAGCGATTTGTTCACATGACTTTATTATGAAATTAGATGTATTAAAGGATTGCAATGACTGTTAACTGTTTATAGTCAAGAGTCTGATGAATATCTTCCCCTATCCTTCACTTATTTTATTTTATTTTCTTTTAGGATGATAACTGGGGAGAAACCACCACAGCTGTTACAGGAACCTCTGAGCTCAGCATCTCCCAGGAGGAAGTGGTTGGCCTTGGAAAAGAGATCCAGGATCGAACCCAGGGCTTCCGGCGCTATCTCCCCCTGGCAGTTGGCTCCTGTGTGGGTCTGCTGGTGCTGGCCACACCTTTGGTCTTCCTGCTTCTCCCAGTAGTGATGTGGCCTGACAGACTGCAGGCTTGTGGCGCAGCTTGTGAGGGTCTCTTCCTCTCTATCTCCTTCAAAATCCTCATCCTCCTTGTTGCCGTTTGGGCCTTGTTTCTGAGGCCGAGCCGGGCCTGCCTGCCAAGGGTATGTGTGTATCGGGCCTTCCTCACCACTCTCACACTGCTGCTCACCATGTCCTACTGGCTTTTCTATGGAGTCCGGATCCTAGACGCACAGGTAGGCTTTAGACTGAGCAGTTATCTTTACAAGTTTCAAATAGATATTCATTTTACACTTTATCTCGTTTTAAATAAGGATTATCCAAAATGTATGTGTGTCATTATTCCATGTATTAGATAGCCACAGTGTCTGAGAACTCTAGCTATGTCAAAATATATAAAGATAAACACGGTGCATATTTGATACAGGGAAAAAATCACAGTCAATGCCCAGTGCTTTCTGTATGTTTACAATCATCGAGTATTCGTCATGCCATGGTAGCCAGCCAGGGCCTCATGCAGCGTGAGGAAGTGCAGAAGGAGACGTCGTAAACAAGGAAAGTGGGTGTCAGCTTCTGGCAGGCAGAACTGTTGGCACAGGAAGATAATCATATCCATGAACACTTACTTTAGAAAAATATACACTACAACTAAAAATTAATTGAAGAGTTGTATTGGCGTAGACTTAAGAATATGCAATTAAAAAGTTATTTGTAATTGAATATATATAATATATATATTTGTCATAAATTACATCATACTAACTAAGACACTGTTCCCACTGACATAAAGTAGCTTTTGTTGTTAGTGTACTTTAGTAATATGACAAAGATTACTTATCATTATTATTTTTCACATACTTTTTTTTACAATTATTTGTTGCAAGTGATCAAATAATTGTAAAAATTAAGACTAGCATAACTGTTATCCGTTTAAATATTATTAAAACAGCTGGAATGCTGTTCATAAAGCTTCATAATTTACACAACAATCTATGAATTTAAAGTGGGCTTTTTTATTTTTTTGCTTTGTATTATTGTCATTCTTTCAAACCCAAATCTGCTTGAGCTTGACGTCAGGAAATTATGGTCCCATGATCTGCATCAGGTTTTCTGGTAAAGAGCAGAGTTTACGGTTTCAATACCAAGTCGTCCAGGTCCTAAAGCAATAAAGCAGCCCCAGATGATCGCACCAACATAAGCCGTCCTTTGCTGTAGTTGAGCTTTGGGTTCATCTTTAAGGAACTTTAAAATACTGTCTAGTCTCTGTAAATAAAATTAATGGAAACATCAGCACCCAACGTAGGAAGAAAATGATAAGGATTTTTATCACTGTACTTTCAGAAGTGTGTTTCAAAATCTTTTTGTTAAAAAAAATGTCTCCATTTATATTTATTTGACCTTTTCTTTTTTGGTTCCCTCAGGATGAAGATTACCACGGTATTGTCCAGTTTGCAGTGTCCCTGGTGGACTCCCAGCTGTTTGTACACTATTTGGCAGTCGTACTGCTGGAGCTCCGCCACATCCGACCCTGCTACAGTGTGTGTGTAATCCGCTCCACAGACGGAGAGACACGCCACTACAACATTGGGCAGCTAAGGTACGGAGTGTTGCTAGAACTGTAAAAATGACCCTCAGTCCACGCTAAGACGCATGCCGTCTAGTGGGTAGACTCTTTATGCTGGAGTATGAGTGCAGTTAGAGGGTCAGGAAAGACTGACAAAGGCTGAAAGCGAGACACGAATCTCAGTTTGGGTGAGGGATTAGAGTGCAGTACATGGCACGCTTTTTGTGTATCTATAGCTTTTTAAGATGATTGGAAATTATGTATGAATCATGAAGATGACAATTACAGTGTTACTGGACCTAATTGATTCTGAATGGTTTTGAAAGATGGTACAAATGGACTGGATGAGAAAACGGATTGAAATATGAAATAAAAAGGAAACTTGTAAACATATTCTTAATGTTTTGTCAGATATGATATAGAATGGTGCTGATAGAAAAAGCAGAAAATGCAATCCACTGAGCAGAGAATATATTCGTCAGACACTGACTGCAGCACATTGACTAAAATGTGTCTCCATACAAGTAACAATCGTATTCATTCGAATTTATCTGTGCAGCAAAACTCTCAATTTTAGGGCATCCATGCATAAGAAATATGAAAACATTAAGAATATGTTTAAAAGTTCCCTTTTTGTTCATATTTCAATCCCTTTTCTCATCAGTGTACCACAGGGGAGGTAATTTCTGCAGCCAGATATTTCTCGGCGTAGGTTTAGGTGAAAATGGGGACGAGCACGTAGGACGGCCTTATGAATGATTGATGATTAGGAGGACCACTTATTTAGATGATCCACCCGGAAATAAAAGATCGTCCTCAATACCTTTAATGTTTACTGTCTACTAAATAGATATTGAGAAGTGTTTCCTCTGTCGGAGTCTATTGTCAAATAACTTTTACATTTGTATAGAATTCTGTCTTTGTCTTTAAAAGCAAAGGAATTTGCACATAAACTTACAATATGACCTGTCTGATCATATATTTCAAATAGTAAAAAAGTTACTCAGTACATAAGTAGCCTTTCCAAAATACAGTTTTAACCCGGCTAATTTTTGCTTTTGTTCAAATAGAATTATGTTGACTTTGTGATATTTGAACTTGAGTACAGTTTTGTGGCACTCTATGCACCTTTGCTTTTAAAAAAAATGTGTTTTGTTTTGTTTGTTTTTTGCATAATTAATCACACATCAATTTTACAATATGGAAAAATAAATTCCTTAATAGGAGGAATCCAAATTACTCCTTTTTTCATTGTTAGAAAATATTGAAGAAGAAACTTTAAAAATGAAAACACATAATTTACAGCTAAATACATGAAAAGGAATTTTCTGCAGATATGAGGTATAACGTATCTGCTAAAATCAGTCTTCCCCATCACCTTTACCTTCCTCTACATCCATTTTTGTTTAAAGCTTTTAGAGCCAGTAGAAGGGCTGAGGAGGTCTGAAGCTGCAGGCCATAGACTCCTTATTTACCTGGATTGCCATGTCATGCTTGGTTGGTGGATTTGCCATACCTATATTTTCAGTCTTTGATGATCAGTAAAACATTTTTAATGAACTAAGCCTACTGCAAACATATCTATCACTTTATCCAAGACCTGTCTCCTGTTTTGCTTGGTCAATGATTGATTTCCTTGAAGGTCAATCAGTTTCTCTAAGAAGCTTCTTAAGTATTCGAGGATATTACATTTCCACAGAGGGGTTTTATTTGTATTGTAAATAAATACAAAGTGCTAAAACTGTAAGTGATATAAGTGGCAACAATCAAAGATTTTTTTTTTTATGCAAAGTTAGAAAACCAGGTAATATAGAAGAGTGTGTAGATTTCATACTAAAACTTGGAAGTAGGGAGAAATGTTGAGTCTTGCAGTGAAAAAAGATCTGGATGAATAAAACAGTTTGTAGATTTCTCAGTGCGAACCTTTCCTTTATACATCCCAATTTGCAGAAATTTAAACACAGCTGGAGGAACTGCTTGGCGTGGACGTTTACCACCAAAAAATGAATACAGATGCGATATGTATAGCTGGAAGGCACCCACCATGTGTCAAAATAACCATGGAAACAATGCTGTCAGGATGTCACAGACAGACTTTGTGAACAAATGTCAGGGGAATTTATTACAGGCAACCAGCAACTTATTAAATGATATCAGCAACTCACTAAAAAGTCTTTTAGCTCCATTTTGTGTCGGTTAAAATCCAAGAGACACTTTCTAGCTGCTTAACTGTACTATTGTGCTGATTGGACTCACCTGGTTTAATCGCTGGGCATTACAGATACATGGCATAGAGATGACATAGTGCCTCCCACCCCTGCTAAAAACTAAACAAACTGAAACCCATCACCCTAAAATTATGGTTTCAGCTTATTAATTTATTTTTTTTCTCTCTCTAATTTCTCTACTGTAACAAAATGTTTTGCTCCTATTGGATTTTAGGTCAGTATAAAAAATCTTGCTGTCTAAAAACTCTAATTATATATTCTCATTCTTCTGTCATGCAGCATTCAGCGGGCCGCTCAGACCATTCTGGAGTATTATTACAGAGATTTTCCCCTGCACAACCCTGCTCTCCTGTCTGCCTCTAAACACCGTACTGCCAAACACCTGGCCGGCCTGAAGGTCTACAATGTGGACGGTTGGTCAACTCATATGAAAAAGGATGATTTTTTCTTCTGTACAATAATGGCAATAAATCTAGTGTCATCCATAATGTCTCGATAGATCATATGCAGGTTGAGGTACAATTACTGCATTTCTAATGATGAGATTCTAACATGGTTTAGAAAATCATCATAGCTGAGTAAAAGAAAAGAAAAAGTACTAAAAAACTTTGACAAATCCCCATGACCATACCTGTCTAAATATGTTCAAGAAATTAAAGTTTTAAAGATTACCTTCAATGTCACACAATGCCCTATTTTATAGTTTAGATGCATCATCTGTACTATAGTTTCTACTGCCAGTTCAAAGAGTATTGCCTGCTAAGCTTTCTGCCCCATGCCTTACATTTTTCCTCCCCACAGCCACGTGTGCCTGTTCTTTAATGTCATATATTGTACTCTTTGCTTCGTCTAAAAGGATCTTCGGCTCACTGCCCATTAATCCTCAGACCGCTGTAGATTTCTTTATCTTCAGTATAAAAAAACAGTGCACCCTCTCCCCCATCCCTATCACATCTCAGCGGAAAGCCCTCTAGGGGGCCATGGAATTTCATGCCTTAAATAATTCATCAGAGAAATGCTAGTTTCTCACATTCTCCCACATCTCTCCTTCCTCCCTCTCAGCCTGTCTCCAGCTCTGCCTGCTCTGTCCCTTTTTCCTTTCCTGTCAACCCCCACCCATGCTTGTTCTTTCCTTTTCATTCATCCACACTCTTATTTTAGCACATATATGTAGGCCAGGAGGTAAATTGGCTGTAGAAAAATAATCTTTTTTTAGAGCAGCATTTAGTCTCTCTGACATACTGATGCATAATAACACATATATGAATAATATATATTCCCACCTGACCTGCAGCATTAGCTCTGTACCTGCATGCTTAGAAATAGCAAATGCACCAATATTGAAACCTCATGAACATGAGGCATGCCTCAGCATGAGCTCCATTAGTCAAGTCATTACATGGACTATGATCTTTGATGTGCAAAATTATGTTTATTCTCAACAAGCCACACTCAGTGAGTTTTTTTTTTTTTTTTTTTTTTGCCACATACTGGTGAAGATTCTCAGTATGTGGTATGCTCATTCCAAAAAAGCTAAAAGGGTAAAAAAACAAATCATTGGACTTTGTTTTCCAAGTTTGATTCCTTCCCGCTATCATCTCAACCCCCATCGCTATGCAAGGGACCAAAATATGTCGCCTGCTCAGCCAGGCCAACAATGACCCTAACGACTCATTTTTCAGAGGCATAGACCAGTATCGGGTATTGCAGGCCAACAACAACCTCAATGACTCCCATTACTAAGGGGTGGACCTGTTCTTTGGTTCAATTTGCATGTTTTCTAAGCCATAACAAGGCTTTGTTTGGCTACTCTATAAAGCCTGGGACATGTTTTGAATTGAAAAAGCTCCCTGGATGGGAAGGGAAACATCTTCAAACTTTAAAAAAAAAAGTCAAGTGGTTTGTTTTTTACCTTTTTTGGAATATTTGCATCATTTAGAAAGAAATTTACCTTAAAATTTTTGCTAAAAAACTGTCAATTAGACAAGATTTCCATACTATCAATCTCCTATCAGAGACTTTCATACCTCAAACTCAGTTTTTCCCCAAAACAAGTGAACCTAGATGGTTATAATCCTGAACTGAAACATTCCTGCTCATTAGTTTCCCCAGTAATTAGATCTGATTTCTCTCCATGCTCATTCATCACTAGTGGTATATTCTGCTGCAGGGTCAGGAAGTTGCTTTCCTTCAGGTCACACTGATATAATCAGTTTGCCTCTGTTCTGTCCTGGATTTAGCCCCAGGGAGCACGGCTGCAGCTCAGCCCACTAATGGAAATCAGTCACGGTCCATGGTTACACCTGCTGCAAAACGCAAAGACAATGCACACAGCGAGCTGTACTATGAAGAGGCAGACTATGAGAGGAGAGTTCGCAAACGCAGAGCCAGGTGGGTCACAAAGTCTGCATGGACTCGGATACACAGGAGATGGGAAGATACATCTTTAATTTACACTTGAACCTCATCGCAAAGGTTTTTTGGCATGTATTTGTACTTTCACCAGAAATTTAAACCCATATAGATTTCTGTTACATTTGTAGCAGATCAGACCCTTGGGTCAAAACCTTGTTAAAAATCTTCCTAATTGGAGTCCTGGAAGTCAGGTTAAAAAGAGAAGAACACTGTAGGACATTCTCCCTGTGGTGGCATGGATTTTCTAACAGCCAATTCCAAATCCATTGTCACAGATCCACTGAGGCTGAGCTGCTTTTCACAGGAATGTAACAGGATTTATGTTTGGGGGGTTTGGGAAAAAGGGATAAGGTAGAGCCTGCTGCTAATGAGGTCAGAGAATATACTACAATGGCGACGGTATCTTTTTTTTTTTTATGAAAATGTTCATGGAAAAGGGTTTAAGGAGAACCAGACAATTTTCTGAGAAAATAAACACTTTTAACATGTATGTATCATCTTTACTCAAAGTTCCTTTCATCTAAACTAAGCATCATGTAGGATACAGATGTATGAGAAAAATTAAAGTATCAGCAGTGTCTTTGCTATAATTCAAAGTCAAGTCAAACTGAGTGCAGATTAATTTTGTTTTTATGAGCTACTTGAATTCATATTTAGAGCCATGCCTATTGGTCAATATGGGTTAAAAGCACACAAAACCAATCCACTCTTTTAAAATCAATCTTTTATTTAATAGAGGATTAAACTTACCCTCAGTCAGCCAGCTGTTTTTTTCTTTTAATTTAGATCTAAGAGACCATGTTTACAATTGAAGAACGTAAATTCTTGTGTCTGGTGAATTAAATCTTTTTTGATTTAACCATATTTTTTATTTCGTTATACTGTAAAAAATCCAGTTCTTTTAATTAAAATCTGGTTTTTCGAAAAGATTCTGATGTGTTTTTTACAACTCCAGGTTCTGTGATTTTTATTATTATTATTTTTGATCTGGCTGTATAATTTTTTATTAGTGGTAAATAATCATTTTAAATGCTATTTGTGTATTAAAGATTGTTTCTGTAGAAATTGTGATTTTTCTTTACTTTTCGTATGAAACTCATTTGACACAAAAAATAAAGCACTTATGCGTTCCTGCAAATCTTTTGTTGTCACAAGTACCTCAGATTGGATCAATATACAAATGTCCAAACTGAACGGTAAATCCTGTTTTTGTTGTTAATCAGGCTGGTGGTCGCCGTGGAAGAAGCTTTCACACATGTGCGACGCATGAAGAAAGAAGACGAGAACGCTACACCGTCCGACATCATGGATGTGCGTGAAGCCGCCCTTGCTATATTTCCCTCAATGGCTCGTGCGCTGCAGAAATACCTCCGCACCACCAGGAGGCAGCATTGCCATAGCATGGAGAGCATCCAGAAGCACCTGGCTTTTTGCCTAGTCAATAACATGAGTCCTAAGGTAAGTCTGGCTTGTTATTTATTATCATATTGAAAAATACTTTAGAAACATTTATTTAAACGCCTGTTTTGCTAAAAAAAAAAAAAAAACTTTATGAATATTTCTTTTTCATGTGTTTAAAATCTAGTTATTAATGTACATCCTGAGTATGACTTTAACCTTTTTACTCTGTGTCCAGGCCTTCCTTGAGGCCTACCTGGCACCCGGTCCAACCCTACAGTACGGCCCTGAGCGCTGGATGGCTGATCAATGGACGCTGATCAGCGAAGCCCCCGTCACCAGTGGGGTTAAGGAGGGGTCAGAGTTCCTGCTAAAGTGTCTTGATTTTAGTTTAGCAATCACAGTCAAGGGCATCCCTTACATCCGCTTGACTGAAGAGTACATCGACCCCAAGTCTCATAAGTTTATACTGCTGCTCCAATCAGAAACCTCCGTTTAGTAATAAGACGGTGGAGTGGCGCTGCCGCTCGGTCAAAACCCAGAACTGTGACTGATATCTGAACTTTTCAAAAAATCCCTTTTTGTACCGTTTTTTGTACTTCTGCGTGTTGTTTATCCAATTAACTATCTTGTCATCACGAGGGACTGGATCAATTGAAAAGCATTTGTTTCAGCAGACGTTTGCAGGGCTCCGTTTAGTTATTCCTCTATGCACTACAGACGACCCTCATAAACATCTGCGGTGCCTTGAGACGCATTCCTTTTGGATTGTTTTAGATTTCTTTTTTCTTATAAACCACAATTTTTTGTGTATTTTATGGGGATTTCTTTAATGACAGACAACATATGGCACAGCTACTATCCTGCAACTTTTTGAGGTACCCCATTTTTAACACACCTGAAACAAATGAGTGGATCGTTATCCTGCCTTTGCTGAGCTACATGATGGGATTAAACCTTTAGAGTCAGGTTTGTTAGAGAGGACTTGACATATGTACCCCTTATGTAAAAGGAAACGCACCCGTGCTTCATTTTTTTCTTTTATCTGTAAGTCTGAAATATTTATAAAAAAAATATTATAATTGAGCTTTATTGATCTCACACTGGAGAAATTTACCTCTGCATTTAACCGATCCCCTTGGGAAGCAGTGGGCTTCTTCCCAAGTTTTAATCGGGAAATGCATTTGAATTAAGGTTTTAGACCTTTCAGGAAATAATCCCCACATCACCTCTGACAAAGCTTCCCTGTCCCTCAGGTAGAAAATCCTCCTCATAGCATATTGCAACCACCACCATGTTTCACTGATGGGATGTTTTAACACGGTGAGATGCTCCATTAGTTTTCTAGAACAAACTGGTGGCCTGTAGAGAAGATTTTCTACATATTTGCTTTGTCCCCTAGAAATCAAATAATTTCTTCTTACCTCTCTTGCCGATTTGTGTCGACATGACCAATATTTGTGTTGTCGGGACTGACCTGAGTGATGGATCTCTGCTGATTGGCTGATTCTTTCAATTTCATAAATAACATCCTTTTAGTGATATATTGAAGGACAGAATACAAATGCATGCTAGCTTTTTTGAGTCGTTGATTTTTTTCAAATATAGAAATTCTTTTCCTTCCACTTAACAATGATTCGTTGCCGAGTGTTTGTCTGTCGCATTACAGTCCCCACAACAACACATTAAAGTTTGTAGTTTTGTAGTGATAAAATGTAAAGCCATTCAAGGGGTGTGAACATATTTTCAGGCCACTGTATCTTTGATTAGTTTGCATAAGTCATTGTGTGCCTAGGTGCTGCGAGAAGGTTTCTCAATAAGAACAAAAGAGGAGTTTCTCCCTGTCCTCAGCATTTTCATAGAGGTTTATTTCATGTTTTTCTCGGGTGATTTCTTTATAAAATGATTTATTTTTACCAGAACTGTACTTTACTACCCCAAAGTGTTAAGCCATGTCTTATTTTTAATGTTTTACTTAGACAGTAATCTTTTAAAAAGGGTTGCTTCCTGCAGGTTTTTTTTATAAGCTTTCAATGTTTTGGTGGGGTTTTCAAAGTCCAAAGGAAAGGTATAAACAACCATCACAACAAATTTAAAAGATCACAAAGTAAACATGACCCATTTAAAAGAAAATATGAAAAATGTGCTGTTCAATACTTTTGGACAGTACTTCTTTTTTAATTGTAGCAGTTACCATGTATTACAGATGTACAGTATTTATATGTAAATACACTTTTCTCCCATTTTACTTTTTGTATAACAGTTGTGGTTTGCTTGAAACCTTTTTTTATTTTGTGATATATATCTTTTTTTACTTGTGCAATTTTTCATGATATACCTGGACTATAAACATGATTAAAGTCTTAAGAACGGGATAAAAAAGCACAGTACAAGTGAACATACTAACATTAAAGTCAGATGGTTATGAGCGCTCTCTCTATTCACTGCTGTAAACCAACAAAGTTTGAGGGAATCTATCAACAGCTGTTTTTTTTGTTGATGTTAAGAAACATTTTATTCTGGAAATTAAGAGTTTGAAAAATGGTATGGTAACTGAAGCACAAGGCAGCTCAGGACCACAGCTGAAAAGGAAACAAGGGACTTGAAAAGTTCATAAATAAAGAACCCTGCAGTTCAAAAAGACTGAAAGAACCAATGGCTGCAAAAAGGTTTATAATCATGTTACAGTATGCTGAGCCCAGGGACGGATTTACCATTAGACAAAATTAGGCAACTCCTTTTACACGTATGGTTAATACAGCTATTACTTATTTGTACACATTAATTATGTTTTTGATTAAATTGCTTTTGTTAAAATGCCATCAGAATGCTAATATTATGAATTGTGTCTTGGGGACGCCCCTTCAGTGTCCACCACATTGGATGAGTCTGTTTGCTGTGCATGTACAGAAAGGTCACAACAAACAGCTGCAAACCATTTGAAACCAAACTGCAGGAAAAGCAGTGTTGCCAACTTAGAGCTTTTGTCACTATATTTAGCAACTTTTCAGACCCCTTTAGCCCTTTTATTACAAAAAAGTGCTTAGTGCCAAATCTAGTGACTTTTTTTCTGTTACTGAAAACTTTGGCAACAGCTTATAAAAGAACCAAACTCTGCTCTCCAGAGTAAGTAGACTCGAAAGCCCGCCTCCTAATCTCCTCTATCTTATCTGCTGTTATGATTCATGCAGCTATAATTTCATTTAAATGAAACATGGAAAACAGATAAGCAGATCATGGCTTGTCTACAGTTAAAAAGAATTACTTATTTACTTTTGCTGTTGCCTTTTTGGAAACAGGAAGAAGCAATCAGCTAAGTTAGAATGGGCTTAGTGATTGGAAAATGTTGGATTGCTTTGGAGACAGCATGGAAAGTCAGCTGAGTACATTGCCAATATGAAAAGAAAAAGGGACACAAGAAAACAGAGCGGAAAACAACAATAAAATGAATAAGAGGAGAGCGACACAAGGTAGAACAAATAATGTATATTTATTCTATAAAAACTTCTTTATTAGTATAATGGCTCTGTTTTATGTGTTTTCTTCTAAGTTCAAAGGGCCCCATGCCTCTCATTGCCTAGGGCCCCACATTTCCTAAAACCGCCCCTGGCTGAGCCCAGTCTGCCTGTTATTAAATATAATGGGAAAAGGTAGAAACCCGGTGTTCCAGTTCTGACCAGCACTGTTACTCTGATGCATTTAAGTCATGTCAGTATTGCCACTTCTCTCAAACCAGCCATGTCACAATTTATATTTATATTGTATTATGAAGCTTTTCAGTACTTTTTAAAATGATAGACGCAGTTAATAGAAGGAGCTGAATGATGATCTTTTCTAAACATAAATGTTTCTCCTTATGGTTGAACTGTGCTACAATTTTATCATTTTAAAAATCTTTTGAAAGAAGCTCTATGTTGGCCTACGGTTTTTTCAGCAATCTGAGTATTTGGATAATTATTATATAACAGCCTTTTACATTGTTAAAGAGATGAAAATTCAGTTTTGTTTGGTTTGGGGTTTTTGTCCAAGTTATTGCCCTGTTTGGTTTTGAAACAGAAGTTATGTTTAATCTATTTATGATTTTTCAATATTAAAGTCTCTAAATGATCTAGGTTTGGAAAATAACTTTTGCTACTTTAGAATCAGATGCTGGTTCACTACTGTGATGTTGCATGATTTTAAAAAAATCTGATTTTACCCAAAATCCGTTTTTGCAAAATCTGGAAATAGGGATCAGAAATCGCCGCTGGCAGTAATGATTGCTTTTGATCTATAAATGTTGCTGCAAATGTTTTGTTTTGACAGATATCTGAAACAGTAGAACCACTGAAAAATAATTCATTTAATTTACTGATAAACTGAATACTTTTTCCACAACATCCCCGCTGCCTGTATTAATTGCCTCATTGGCTCTCAAAGCCATTTAATCAACTGTGCCCTTGTTCCTCTACTTCTTATTTGCTACTAAACTTGAACTTATAATATCCATTGTTTTATTAATTTGTAAGGAAACGACATCTCTATTGAGAATACCTTTTTTGGGGGGGTGAGGGAAGAAAAAGCACCTACTCCATCTTGTTGTAAAGCCAATAAGTAGCCACAAATTTATTGAACATATCTTTTTCTGAAATGTCTTCTAAATCAAGAAATGTCGTGTTTATGTTGTCTGTTTACCACAACAGGTAGTTGTACACTTGGGACCAAATGACCCATCATTATCAATAAAGTTTGGTTGTTTAAATATGTCTCAAAAACCTGACCAGTTTAAAAATAATAATTCAAAGACTAATTGTGATTTGTTCATACTTTCTGCTTTCTAGATTTTTAAGTTAATGCTGGTTCTAAAATATGGCAACAGTTGCTACAAATCTTTATACTTGAACACCGTATACTTTAGTTTAAGGCTCCCTGTAGGGAATTTTTTTTTTAAGCTTTTATTTTTGCCCAAAGCCCTGTACTGCTTTTTCTTCTTTTACTTAAAATGTTTGAAAAGTATGTTTCATGTTTTTTTTCTTCAAATTTCAAATTTATTTATTTTTTTTATTATTATTGGCTGCCAACTGTGTAAGCAATTATTGAAAATTGAAAATCAATTTTGAATTGAACAGAGTACAGTGCCAGTAATATGTTTCATCTGCCTCACTACTGCCACCTGCTGACAAATATTATAAGAGCATTCTGAGTATGTTTTGCTCAACTGATGATGTGTGAGGATACTTGATCTGTTTTATTTTATTTATGAGGCCAGTAGTGGTGTAAAATCTTGAAGTGGTCCTGTGTTCAAAGACAATGTTTGTTTAGGTGTTTTACACACGTGCCTCGGTTATCTGATATGTTTTTAGAATCTGTACAAATGTGTTTATGTTAATATTGAAAAAAACCTACGTGAAGAGAGACTAATTTTACCATATTTATGCAACTTACATGTCATGAACTCTGTTTTCGCTGTCCTGTTTTTTACAACAATTATGTCAAACAAAGACGTGTGGTCAACTTTGTAAAAAAAAAAATAATATTTGTACCAATCCCTAAGGTGATCAAATGGTTTTGCTTTTTTTTTTTATTGTCTTTTTAATGGTGACTTGTGCCTTAAAGGAATAGTACACCCAAAACATGATTAGCCTTCATTTTCTACTCACCCCCATGCTGAACAACACTCTGGAGTACTTTTTTGATATCTGAAATGCATCTGGAGATCTGGGAGGCTTCTTGCTGTCTGCTGACATTCAAATAATGGAGGTCTATGGTGCCCGAGACAGAAAGGTCCATAAAAGTCCACAAAAAACGTGTCAATATTCCTCCATACTGCTCGTCCAATGTATTCCAAGTGTCCTGAGTGGGTAGCATCCAGAATTTACTCGAAACAAAGTAATTTAGAATGTTTTTAGAGCATAAACAGTGGTGTATAGGATTTCCTGAAAGCGCGCACATGCGCGTTCACGACGCTACGGAAGCCGGCAGACCAAACCAGATGAAAGTGCGCATTCAGCGTCTGCTCTGCCAATAATGCAAGCGTAGAAGAAGAAATGTGCTGTTTACCTGTGCAAAGAAAGAAACAACAAAAGAAAAATGTCTGAGGACTTCAGTGTTGAGGAAGAGCATGAGTTCTTTGCCGAGCTTAATGCGCTGGTTTGGTCTGCCGGCTTCCGTAGCGTCGTGAACGCGCTTGTGCGCGCTTTCAGGAAATCCTATACACTACTGTTTATGCTCTAAAAACATTCTAAATGACTTTGTTTCGAGTAAATTCTGGATGCTACCCACTCAGGACACTTGGAATACATTGGACGAGCAGTATGGAGGAATATTGACACGTTTTTTATGGACTTTTATGGACCTTTCTGCCTCGGGCGCCATAGACCTCCACTATTTGAATGTCAGCAGACAGCAAGAAGCCTCCCAGATCTCCAGATGCATTTGAGATATCAAAACAGTATTCCAGAGTGTTGTTCAGCATGGGGGTGAGTAGAAAATGAAGGCTAATCATGTTTTGGGTGTACTATTCCTTTAAGGACAGTAAAAAGACTAGTGTTCTCTTCATTTTACGACGGATTCATTTAATGTCATAAAACCAGAGTTTTTCAGCTCTTTAATTCTCTTCCTTAGATTTTACCTTATTTATTTTATTTTTCCAAGATATCAAGCAAGGAAGGAGTTCTGGCTTCAAGTAGGCATATGCACAGTTTTGTTTGTGGTGTTTCACTGAAACAAACTCACTCTCAATCTTCCGTTTGGCACTTATACACTGATAATTTTAGTAATTGTTTTAGGGTTTTTTTTTATGCTGTTTGTTGCATAAATTCTGGTCTCTGCTGCGTATTTATACAATTAGTGTGGCACTTGGTATGATGATAATTGTACCTAGTTATAATTATTTGTGGAAATGTCTCTTAACAATCAGCTGGTATAGGAAGGCATGGTTCTCGCATTCCTCTGCGCCATTTCTTCTATATTTTCCACAACAAGAAGAGATGAAAATGTCCTGATTTGTACTGTTTTCCTTTTAACATTGCAAAAACTCCAAGAATAAGGAGGAAATTACACTGTTTAAAACTGCAGCTTATAATAGAAGAAATTGACGTCACCACCTTTCATGAGCAGTTGTATTGTTATAGTTTGAAAATATTTATTGCCACATCCTTCATGAGCATTGTCTATAACATTATATCACAGAGGTGTGTTTGAACCAGTTTAAAAGCCCAGCAGGCAGAGATTCAGATCATTCAGTCTTTTTTTTAAGTTGTTCAGGAGGACTGAAGTAGGAAGAGGCAACTTCAAAGAAAATTACTCCTCATCATCATCTTCCTCCTCATCCTCTTCGTCTTCATTATCGTCATCGTCGTCATCATCGTCATCATCATCCTCATCATCGTTGTCATCATCTTCAGTGTTTACTTTCCCAGAAAGGACATCTTCAATCCAGTCCTCCAGCTGCTGAGCCGTGGGCAGGTCCTCCTCATCCTCCATTTCTAACCACACGCTGTCCGCCTGCTCTCACATAAAAAAGGTCAAATAGGGTAACGTGAACGTGTGGCTTTGCTCTGCAGATCAGGTAGAACCGTAAGCTTTGGAACTTACATCTGTAACATTGACGACTCCAATCTGTGGCCTGAACAGATCTACCTTAAACGTCTTCTCCCAGTAAGGAATCAGCTGGAAAGGGTCAGAAAGAGGAAACGGCTTCAAATCTCCATCCGTTAGGTCGTTATCTCTGAGTGCCCTTCTTCTCTGACTGTTACTGTTAGAAAGCAGAAGTCAGGCTTACCAGGGGGAAGTCATCAGGGTCGATCCAGATGATACTGAGGTCAGGAAGGTGAGTGTTGTCTCTGGCTACTTCCTTCAGGATCTCTAGGAATTCATAACCATCTGCAAAACAAGAATTTTGTTGTAGGGGTGTGTTGATGTGTTTCGTTTTATTCTTATTGCAGATTTTATACGGAGCAGAGGTCTATATCAAAATGTTGAGATGTACTTTCTACCAATTTCGCATCTGAGAGAGAACAGATGAGAAACAAACATGTCACGCTTATCCCTGCTGGGGTCACAAGGGGTGCTGGTGCCTATTTACAGCTGTCTGCGGCGAGAGGCGGGGTACACTCTGGACTTTGTACTTGCTATATGTTGACGTGTTTCAGCGTTCTTTAGCATCCGTCAGCATTTTCAGCATGCTCATAACTTATACAAAACAAACATATAACTCATTCAATAAATTCCAGTGCTTTTGCCAGATTTTCCATACGTCCGGCATACGCTGGTCTAAATCGTCAAGGTGTGACAGCAGCATTAAAAGAATCACCTCCCCACAGTACATACATTTCATTAAAATGCATGAAAAAAGTCACAAATAATTTAGCTAACTTAATAGGAAAAAAAAAGAATGAAGAACCGAATATATTGGAGAGCAAACATTTCCTGATCATGTTAAAGGCATAGTATAGGACAGACATGGGCATACTACGGCCCCCGGGCCGTATACGGCCCGTTAGGCTTTTTAATCCGGCCCGCCGAACTTGTCCAAATTACCCTATTTTCACGACTGTAAGGCGCACATAAACGTCTTTTTTTTTTTTTTTTCCTCAAAATGTGCGGTGCGCCCTATGTGTGTTGTAACTGCGACTTTTGAGACCACCATGCACCATGCAGAACTCCTCATCTCCTCATTGAGGAGATGATGAAAGCGTGGCTGAGGGAGGTGAATGTAAGGAGACCAGGTGTTTTTTTCCCACTCATCACCATCTCTGGTAATCTGTGACTGCATGCGTGCCCATCTCACAGCTGATGTGAAAAACATGGTGAAACAAATTAACGCTGTGCTCGCTGTTATTCAACCGCTCGACATCGGTGCGCTTCGGGAGCGCGCCGCCAACGCGCTGCTGCTGCTCGAGATGGAAAAATTTAAGTTTTGCTGCTGGAAGCGCCGCATCAACCAATCAGAGAAGCTGATCTGGGAGCTGACAGCGAGACAGGTGTATGAGGAGACCAGGTGGTTTTTTCCACGCATCACCATCGCTGTTAATCTGTGACTGAATGAACGCTGTGCTCGCCGTTATCCCGGGAGGTCTGACAAAGGAACTTCAACCGCTCGACATCGGTGTGAAGAGGTCTTGTGCGAAATTCTGTTTCCCCGTGAAAATCTGTTCCCCCTGTGTCGGGAGCGCGCATTGCAGCCAGAGAGGCGGATCTGACCATTCTTAAGGCGCTCCTGATCATTTTTCGGTAAAAACAGCTCATATAATCATCTCAACTTTGTAACATCCATTTTAATCGGTTGCTCTTTTTAAGAAATTGTAAAATAAATACATTAACGAGGTCCTCACGCTGTTTTGTGTTTTTTTTTAACGCCAAGAGAATCGGTATTTCTCCAACTTTTGTCCCTTCAGCCTGACAGAAATAAACGTCAGTCACCGAACACAACAACACGTAGTGTATTTTTCATTTTTCATTGCTGATATAAGAGGATGGAAACTGGCTGATAGCAGGGCACACAAATTAAGACGTCCTGCGAAGATGAGAGTAGAAATCACCTTCTAATGTAAAATATGACAGATTACTGGATTAAGGACATTTATAGTATACCACATCACACATATCAATTTTAGAGAAATTGGAAACAGTTGCTCTTTATTTCCCAAAGATATGGGAGGAGGAGAGGAGATAATGGATGTTTCAGTTTACTGAAATATTCTGTTCCCCCTCCATAACAGGGGAAGAAATTGATTTACCTGCAAGTCTTTAACTGTGCTTATTCATCTCACCACCGAGAACAAATCCTGTGGATTTGGTCATATTTACTCTTTATTTGCAAAAATTTTAAGGGGGGGAACCATATATTTCAGCTGCCTGAAATAATCTGTTCCCCCTCCATAGGGGGCCTCTGGGCCGGGTCTCCTCCGGGTTCACCGCAGCGGCTGGCAGGTGTTTTTTCATCTAAATAATCTAAATCTTGCAGCTATATTTGATGTGATCAGTGGGAATAAAGTAGTTTTAATATGTTTTTAAGTGAGAAAGTCCACCTGAAAACTTAATAATTGCAGTCAGTTCATCCAGATTTCTACTGTCGGTGCACCACATACCAGCGGTACACTGACAGTAGGAACCCCTTCAACAGCAGCCTCTAGGCCGGGCAGCCTCCGGGTTCACCTCGGTGGCTGGCAGGTGTTTTTCATCTAAATAATTTAAACTGCAGGCACCAGGATACCAGCAATAAAAGCGATCATATTCTGTCGGCAGGTTTCAGGATTTTAAGTTATTTTGGAGTCATCACAGCGCTCTGTGTCATCAGCGACGTGTCTGTCTCAAGGCCAGCACGTAGGTTTGATTAATACTTTGTAATAAATAAATGAATAAAGCACAATCATACTCAGTTTTGCCCCTGCTCTATTTTTAAATACGCAGTAGAGGTATCTAAAGGTAGTAGAGGACATGTACCTGTATATAGGAAAACCCTATAGTCCGGTGCACCTTATGTGTGTGTTAAATACAGAAATGGCACACATAACTGAGACTGCGCCTTTTAGTACGGTGCGCCTTATGGTCGTGAAAATTGTCTATTTTTTTTATACATTTCAATCCCCAGGTTTAATTAATTACATTGCTTGTCCAAATGCTCCTGGCCCGGCCCTTCTGTCAAATTTTAGAACCCATTCTGGCCCGCAAGTCAAAAAGTTTGCCCACCCCTGGTATAGGACATTCTTTTTCCGGGTGGATCATCAAAATAAGTGGTGCTCCTAATTGTCAATCATTCCGCTGATATGGTTACTTAAGGCCCTCTTAAGTGCTCGTCCCCACTTTCACTTACCGGTGGTGAGTCTGACATAGTCGATATATTGCAATTCTTGTTTTTGGAAACTTGTATAAGCGATGCAAACGGCAACTTTTAAACAGAGCGTGCACAAGGAGAAATGGGCACGTGTTTAATAGGCGTTCCCTCTCCTGAGCGGGAACAGGGTTGTGCATGTGCATTTTTTTTTAAAGTGGAGAGGGCGGGTCTTTTAAAAAATTTGAGAAAACTCCTCCACTATACCTTTAAACTTTCAGTTTCCCTTACATTGATACCTTGTATATATCAGTGTTCTATAAGTATTTTCTTTATTTGTTTGATTGCTTTTAATCATCAATATTCCTACAGGTGCATGTGTTTGACCCTGAGCAGCTCTTTCATAATGTTTTACATCCTCACCAGGGTCCTCTTCCTCTGCAAAGGCCACAATGTGTATCCCCTCAATGTCATCCTCCTGAAAAAAAAGGGTGAAAACTACCAAAGTGCGAAAACGGTTTTTGAAAAAAGAGATAAATAATAATGTTTTGCAGTTTTCTGACCCAAGTTTCAAACATGTCTTCTGCACGCAGCTTCCTCAGAGTTGGTCTAGTGGCACAGAAAACACAATTAGAATGTCAGATATGAAATTATTTTTAACAGTATGGGGAAAAAAATTATTTGTTTTTTTAAATAATAAATAAATGAAGGTGTGTCTGTAGTTTACCGTCTGTGTTGAGTAATGAACTCCACCAGTTCTTTCTCAGAGTGAGGTCTTCCTGGGATGGTGACAGGCTCCTCCATGAAGGGCTCATAGAAGTCCACCTCATTCAGCTTCAGGGTGAGCTCCTTGGCCACCTGAGCCAACAGAGACAAATCAGTCATATATATAAAAAAAGATCCCAAAATGTTTTACTTAATTTTCAACTTACAGATTTTTCAAATGTGGCGAAGAATTTAATGTATGGCTGAAAGTTTTCTGCAGCTTCTTTAAATGCTTCATAATCTGAAAACAGAGGAGTGAATGAGTTATGTGGATCTCAGTGCTGTTGATAAACATGCGTATCATAGTTGTTTCTTCTGTTATAATGACTCAGTTTGTCCTTTGTGCATCAGGGAGCGGAAACATCCCATCCTTGACCTCCATGCGGTTCTCTCATGGATCACCAGATGGGATAAAGTTCCTGTGCAGCACTCTGAGTATACAGCAGATTCAGTTTCCTCTGTTTACATTTCACATTTCTCTTCTCAAACATTATTCTTAGGCTGCATTGGTATTAATGGGGTTATATTTTTGCTTTTCCGAAAAACAATGCTCCAAATAAGTCGTTTAGTTTTAGTATAGACTTTCTATGCAAATACTGAAATCGTTTATCGTTAATCAGAGGCTGTAACAAAACTATTGTTTACATGCTACATCTGTGATGCATTCTAACATTATTTAAGTGAAACAATTTGAAAACAGGATCAAGTACTCAAATGTTTTTTTGACTTTTTTAGGATATAAATAATTTGATTTTAAATGGGACACGGTGTTCCACTCAAGAGAGGTTGTTTGGGTCAGGCTTCATTTTTCTATAAAGGCTGTAATGGCTGTAATTAAGTGATTATTGGACAACTGGAAACTTCAAGTTGACTTTATTCACATTCAAAGACAATATTTAACCAAGTAAACCCAAATGTCACAATAAGCATCATTATAGTTCCTCTACTGTATTTATTTCATATTCCACTAAGACAGCCTAAATGAAAAAAAGGGATCTTTTAATGTCTATAATTCCCAGAGCCTGCTAGGTGCTGTGCCAAATCAACCTTAGTGCAGTTTTTATACTTGTAATATTTTACCTAATATGCTCAGAAATCTATGTGTTTCTGGCTCCACATTAGAAAAATCTTTTGAACCATTTCAATTGTAGCATATACTGTACACTTTCCCTCCCTTATTTATTTCAACATTTTATGCAAAAAGACTTTTAATCCACTTCAGATCCACCCTGATCCACTGATTCATTCTGGTAACAGACTTTTTGCAAGTGATAAAAATAAACAGTCATTATCTTCCAATCTAAAAATACTGTGACACATGAGCTTAACATTTTTCTCTTCCTGTAAATATGCCAACTCTATTGTTGTTTTTGCACTTTTAAAGCTTTTTATCCCTTTTCTCGTTATGTTTTGAAGTTGTTGTTTTTTTTTCAATATTTTGTACTATAACTTTTTAATATAGCTTTAAAAGGTGTTTATATAGATAATAATAATAATTAGACTATAAAAAAATTATTTATTTGTTGACTCATTATAGTCTTTAATATTGTTAAGGCTACATTATTTGATTGAATACTTTAAATATTTGCACTTTCTGTTCATTTTGAAAAAGTTAGAATTTGAATATTGATTCATTCTAATGCTTCTATTTTCCTGTAATATTGTTGTAATACGAGGGGCGTTCAATAAGTAATGCCCCTGGCGCACTTCTAGATGTTTGATCGAGCTGAAATTTTGCATGTGAAGTATTTTAAATCTCTATAGATTAAATAGCAAATTACAGCTCTGATCTAATTGTGGTTTCTGATTTACTGGTGTTAAAACTGAGTCAAGTCTGGGTTTTTGCATTTGAAAGGAATCACACAACAGCAGACTTTTGATCAAATTAAGGTAACTTATAGTGATAATGTTCCATAATATAACCTTTTAAAATATTTTGCAAGGTCATATAACAGGCATCATCACCGTAAGTTACTTTAATTTCATCAAAAGTCTCCCGTGGTGTGAGTCCATTCCAATAGAAAAACCGGATCACTGCTAGACACTCAACAGGCTCCGTTTCAGACTTTACTCAGTTCAAACACCTGTAAGTCAGAAACCACAAATAGTTCAGAGCTGTAATTTGCTACTTAATCAATATAGATTTAAATAACGTCACATGCTAAATTTCAGCTCGATGAAACATCTGGAAGCATGTCAGGGGCATTACTTATTGAACGCCCCTCGTAAAATAATGTGTTGTTGAGTTTGCTCTCTGATGCCTGAGAGAAATTCTTCCCCATTCGTTGTGTGATGAGCAAAGGTAAAATTGGATCTGTAAATCCATGGAGCTGATGCTCTAATCAAGGTCATGGAAACTTATCTCCACCGGCATCTAAACAAAGCAGGTGTAAAGGCAGCAGAAGATCTGGCATTTTACAAACTGAAGCACTCACGCTCAGAGTCTTCACTCTTGAAGTAACCAATGATACGAATATCCTCCTCCATTCTATCAAAGGCTTTAAGCTCCAAAGCATTTTCGATGATCTCCACCGGCTCCTCCAAAAGCTAAGGAGAGAAAATATTGGCAGTCATTGTAGCTATGTAGAGTGTTGATTAAGGCTCGGAGATGGAAATCTGCTTTAGAAATCTACTCACGTCTAACAAGAACTCCACCAGAGTGTTAGCAGAAAGTAAACCATCGAACTCGATCACTCTGTCATCTTTAAAAACATATACGCTTCCCTCCTCCTCCAAGTCTGTGATTAAAGGAAGATGGATGTTCATTTTAGAAACAGAAGGTTAAATACTTTTAATTAACGAAGACGTGTATCTGTTCCAACCTAGTTTCTTTGCAACTTTTGCATCTTTGAGCGAGTCAACCATACCAAACCCGATGTCCTTCTCCTCCATAACCTGAGCTACAAGCTGAAGTCAAGGAAGAAACAAAATCAGGAGTTACAATGCAAGAAAAATAACTATAGTTTCAAATAAACCTCCAAGAACATGCAATGTTTGGCAGCATGACAGGTGCATAGGCTACCCAGAGACACAGAGATAAAGTAACATAATCACTCAGTCTGCCTGCTTCTAAATATAACTACAGCCAGGGTACACAGTATATAATTGTTCAGGCATTTGTTGTGTATAGTAGAGGAGCTTTTTTGTATTTGACCTTTCCTGCAAGACAGAATATTGTAAAAGATTAAACTTAAAAGGGTTAAATAATTTACAAAATCTGATGAGTTCAATTTCCTTCCTTCTGAAAAATAAAAGAAAAAAGCCAAATAGATAACACATAGATTTGTTCTTTTCTCCAAGTGGTCAGCTTCAAAGTTCTGAACAAAAACTTCCCACCAAATACCAACAGGTCTGCTGAAGATCCAAATCATATCCTGGCTAGATAGATTACATGTTTTTGAATCATTGGGTAACATGGACATATTTTAGGACAAAATAATGAACAGTTAATCAAAGTTAAATTATTTTTCTAAATATTACCAATATTTGAGAAGTCTAAAACAAAGTGCTTCTACTTAGAAGAAATGATCATTTAAAGCAATGAACTGAAAACTGCTCTTATACTTTATAATTATTGTGCTTAAGTGAACATAATTTTTCCATTTTGATTTATGTTATTCTCCGTTCTCTTTTTCATGGGTTTGCTTCACATTTTGTGTATTTAAGCAGTCTTCTATTTTCTGAGTTGCTCTTTGTTCCCCTCTGTTGTTCTTCCCCTTAGCTCCTTCCAGTTACTTCTGTCTTCACCTGCTCCACATCAGATAATTAGTCCTCCCATTGTTCTGTCTCCCATATATACACCTCCTGTGCAGTTCTCTTTGCTGTTTTCTTATTGTTACTTGCCTTCCCATGTATGTTTTCCCCTGATGTCTCTTGGTTTTTGGTTTCCTGTATTCAGTTCTTGGGGGGTTTTTTCTCTTTCCCTTTCTGATTTGATCAAACCTGGAAGAACTAATCTCTGCTTCACTCATCTCTGCATTTGCATCCTCAACCAACCTCCACCCTACCTGACAGAGGTTGGTTCTTTTTTTTACCACTGTTGCTAAAGGTCATTTAACAATGCAAATGCACTTTTCATGTTGTGACTCTATGCATTTCCATGACAGCTTTTATTCCAAATAAATATTCAATTACAAAAAAAATCCAAGCTAGCAGCCAGCAGCAGTAGTTAAAAAACTGCATAATTAGCCATGCTAATTATTTTGCAGATCTAAGCATTTCCCCAATGCTGAAATGAGCTAAACTTTACAAGTACTATCAAAGCATTAGTGTAATAGGAGAATGAGTAATCTTATTTCTTGGCATCATTAGATTAGCATGACTTATCAATGAGTGGTGCATGTGTGCAGCATGCATTGTGTCTCAGTGCTGCAATGTTCATGCTATATAACGCTGGAGAACACACAGTTCCAACAAAGTCATGATGAATAAAAAGGTGATGCTACATGGGATATGATATTAGATTTTGTCTAAAAAAAAAAAACAAAGATAAACAAACCAATTACACATTTAAAATAGCAATATAGACCTTTTAAAAGCTGCAGGTTAGCGTCATGGACCTTAAAGCAACTTATTTCTAAATGTAGATATTTTATTTTTATTTAACCTTTACCTTCACAGCTGCTATAACGGACATCCCTGTGCTGAGGGAACAGAAAGGATAGTTTTATTCTGTTTTAGACTTTTTGTTGGCTTACCCTCAACCTGTTTGAACACATGCATTCAATTCATGCACCTCATGCTGTTCAACAAATTCTTTATATTAGATTCCATGAATGCCTGATAACAGCAGATCTGTCCACCTGTGCAGGAAAGCCTCTAGCAGGAGCTTAAAATACTTCCAGCAGGTCAAAGAGGAGCTCAGCTTCAGCTTTGTGCAAGGACAGGCAAAGCCATTTGGTGTTGGAACATTGAGAACAATTTAAGAACCAGCAAGTTTGTAGTTGCAAGAAAACAAACTAGTTTGTTTATTATAAGCTTTTTGTAACCAAGGAAAAAAAGTTTTGCTCTTTATCTGTGAAATTCTGCAGATCTCTTGGCATGTATCAGCTGACAGGGGAACAACGTGTGAGGAACAGAGCTTAAATACTTCAATGGAATGTAGACACTGTGAATTAGGCTGAAATAACCTCTAGTGACAGCAACTCATCTTAATGGATAACTGGGTATTCCTACAGTACTCACTGACCTCCAACAGTCCCCATCATATAGACGTTATTGTTTTAAAAAGAAAGCTTGATTTTATTTCCTATCCTTTGGTTTTGCAGCTTACTGGAGCACAAACATTAACCCTTACTGTAGATATCACATGTCGTTCAATCCTGCAACATTCTGCACGACAAAAAATTCAAATCTAATTAATTTTTTAATTCTTTATTTCCCTGTATTCATCCTCTACCCTCATACTTTACCTCCAGCACCAGCTCAGTCATCTGGTGTTGTTTCTGCAGCTCCTTATTGTCCGCCACTGGTTCATGGTAGAACAAGCACAGCATACTATGCTTCTTCAGGGCCTTCTTGTAATTCTTATCATTGATGTCGATAACACGGTCCTTCCCGTCATACCTAGGGAACTCTAGCCCCTTTTCAGCCGACGACACACTCACAAGGCTCAGGCAAGGGAGTAAAAACAACCAGATGGAGACCATGGTCCACGGCTAACCATCCACTCCCCACAGGATGTGGCTGGGTTTCAGTGGATGAAACTGCACCCCCAGAGAAGTAAGACAACTGCCTGGAAAGGGATGGAGAAATGTAAGATGTTCCTGCAGGAGGATTTAGTGAGCAAAAAGAAGTCGATCAGCAGGAAGTTTTTAGCATGCCCGAAGAAATCAAAAAACTTCTTAGGAAACTCTCTCCCCCCGGGGTGATTCCTCCTCCTCGCCTTCCTGTGGACACAAAGCACAGAGAGGAATGGGATCAGGGCTGCGATGAACTGTGGGTGGATACCATACATAGTCCAGCTTCTCTTCCCCTACCAGAGCAGCACAGGCCCTTTTTTAGACCAGTTGTTTGAAAACTAAAAATAGAAAAGCAAGCGAGAAAGGGAAACAGCAAAGGATGACATTGGAGGCTTATTAATAAGATTACTCTCTCACTCTGTTTCTTTTATGCAGGAGAGGAGGGGAAAATGCTGATAAGATTAGCAAATATTCATCTACAATATGGTGTTTAAGCATCTGTTTAGAAGGGGGGGGTTAGCTGAAGTTTTTGAAGTGACAGTTCCCAAGAGCATCTGCCAACAGGTGTGAAACAAACATTTCAAACAATCAGCTCCAAACCTTTGATCTCCATGTGCTCCCATGAGATCATTACCGTATAAGGTACGTTATCTGACCCATAACTAACAATCTTGCTGTTCTCTATTAAGCCAAATGTGGTAATACTTCACAAGACTTTTAGAACAATATATTACAATAAGTTCCCCATATTAAAGGGATAGTTCGGGATTTTTGACATGAATCTGTATGGCATCCCCATCACCAGTGTCATGCAATCACACTGACTTACCCCTGGCAGCATCCTGTGAGCAGAGTTCTCGTCCAGCTTTGGTCAAGCCGAAAGTAGTCCGGCAGGTTTGCTAGACCCAGCGAAATAAAACGTTTCTCTTCCCAAAACATTATGTGTTCAAAAGAGTGATATTTTTGCATCCCAAAAACATTGTAGTGGAAAAAGTCACACGTCGTTATCACTTGGTCCTATTTTCTCTCTGTTCGTATCAGTGCGCGCCGTCATTCAGACAGCGAGCTCAACTTTTCCAGCTCATTTCAGTGCTGTTGTTGTGATGCAGACAGCAGCTGCTGCAACTCCGACATCCTCATCAATGGAAAGGTTCTGTATCTCGGGCATTACTAAATCCCACTCGTGGCAACAGTAGCATCCACCTCGGTCTGCATTAATTCGCACTTGAAACAAGTGCACCATGATTTGTCGGCCACCCTGGATATCGCAGCTCCAGCTGAGGCTCCTGCGGCTCCGGCTTCAGCTTCCATCACTTCTCTGTCCGCCCTCTCTCTTTCTGCCCGATCTAACTCCATTTGTCGAAGTTCATCGTCAGTGTACTCGGGTTCATAAAGATATCCCTTTGGCTCTAAGTGGAAGTCGATGTTTTCCTCGTCGCTCTCGTAGTCAGACATCTTCCCCAGTAGTAAACAATCGCGAATCAAACAGGTAGGCCCTTAACCTGACAACAGCCAGATGCATGCCTCGCTCCGCCTAGCTCCTAGCTGGGCGGAGCGAGGCATGCATCTGGCTGTTGTCAGGTTAGTAGGCCCTAGCTGTCAGGTCATGGTGTCGCGCGCACTGATACGAACAGAGAGAAAATAGGACCAAGTGATAACGACGTGTGACTTTTTCCACTACAATGTTTTTGGGATGCAAAAATATCACTCTTTTGAACACATAATGTTTTGGGAAGAGAAACGTTTTATTTCGCTGGGTCTAGCAAACCTGCCGGACTACTTTCGGCTTGACCAAAGCTGGACGAGAACTCTGCTCACAGGATGCTGCCAGGGGTAAGTCAGTGTGATTGCATGACACTGGTGATGGGGATGCCATACAGATTCATGTCAAAAATCCCGAACTATCCCTTTAAGCCAAAAGTGTGCGCTAAAAAGAAAGGGGTCTATTCAAATAATATTTTTATTTAATACCAGTGTTGTCATCTGCAGGTGGAAGATGGACACTCATACTTAGGTTAGGTGTTGCTAGATAGTTTTCTCCTGATAGTTAAAGGAAAGTTGTTCTTCTCCACTGTTACCAATTTTGTGTGCAGAATGATTACTGATGCATGGTAAATAACTCCGTGATAGCATTTTACCTCTTGGTATTATATGATTAGCTAACCTTAATTGCAATGTGTACTGTATGACAGGAGTTACACTCCTTAGTGCAATGATTGGTAGTAGTGTCGTTTTTAGGCTCCTGGGTTTAATTTCCAGCTCTCTGCATTTTCTCTCTATGCATAAGTGGGTTCTCTCTGGAAGTTCTAAAATTCTCCCTCTGTCTAAAACCATTTAATTATTGGTCTCTCCAAAATGACAGCAGGTAAGAGAATGCACATATATGGTTGTTTTTTGTGTGTGTGTGATGATTTACTGGCAACCTGTCAAGGGTGAACCCCACCTCTTTCCTATCAACTACCAGAGAAAAGCAAAGGTTTCCCCTTAACCCTGCAAGTAAAGAGAGGATAGACAACAGATAGATTCTGAATACGATTGAATAGCATTTGAATGGAAAACTGTTCAAACTTATCTGTTCTCATTGAATTCATGGTAAAAATAATCTAGATCCACCTCTGTTGTAAAGTAACTGGAGAATAGATTTATTGTAACATGAATTAAAAATGTACTCACATGCACAACCCTGTACCTGTCCCCAAAAGAGAATGCCTATTAAACGTGTGCGAGAGCGTGCACAAGCCCATTTCTCCTTGTGCATGCTCTGTTTAAAAGTTGCTGTTTGCATTGCTCATACAAGCTTACTTCTCAAAAGAATATTTGCAATTTTTCCACTATGTCAGACTCACCACCAGTAAGTGGAAATTAGGGTCCAGCACGTAGTCTGGCCTTACGTAAACATAACACCAGGATGATTGACAATTAGGAGGACCACTTATTTTGATGATCCACCCGGAAAAAGAACATCCTCCACTATACCTTTACCTTGCAATTCTCTCAAGTCTGATCCAGGTGGCGGCCTTTGAGGTTCTGCTTCCCTCTGCAGGAATAAATACACATAGCCTGTTTTTCTACACATCTCTGTGGAAGCAGCTACCCCCAATGTCTCCTGGAGCCACTAGATGGCAGTATAACATAACTGCTGTAAAACATTTTTCCTCAGTCAACATTCATGATTCCTTCTAATAAAGTGGACTATTACATGGAGTTACATACAGTGAGTTTTAGTATGCATCTTTTTTGTTTGTGCTACATTTTGTTTAAGTGCATGTATGTTTTTGAGTGGTGATGTGTGTTTTTTTTTATCTGTTTGTTTTTTTGGGGGTTTTTTTTTGGAGGTATAAAAAAAGAGGTTTGTGTGGCAAACTCTGCTACCATCTCTGAAGTCTCAGCAGACTTGTAAGTTCCAGCCAAGAATTCCACAGATCCATTCCCTTCAAGAATTTGTATACTTTTAATCTCTTTCAAACTGTTTAATGTACTTATCAGTCATTGTGATTTTGGCAGCTGGTAAAGGATGAAACTGTATTATGTGCAAAGCCAAATTAAAGATTAAACTGACAGCAAAGTGAGATAAGTCATGTCATGTTTCCTTACAAAAAGAAGTGATTGCATATGTTTAATGTACAATAACACTAAAATGGGACTGTTATCTATTGGGTACGTGGAGTGCTGTCTTGATATAAATGCTACAAATCTTTATTTTTCAGCAGATCGGAACTTTCCTGTACCAGTGAGATAGAATAAGATCTCTAATGCTAAAATATTCACACTGTGCACCTAACTGCTAAAATCAGCCTGGGATTTTTCCTCTGTTTCTTTTATCCCTGGTCAGTTTCAACAGACTCTGTGGGACAAAACCTCATTGCAACACAGTGTGTTGTAATAAACTGCAATAATGGTCTGATTCATCAGATTTTCATTTCTTTTTCGATGTAAATCGTGCAGCTACTGCAAACCAAACCAAACTAAAACACTGGCAGAATTTTTTTTTTTTTACTTTGTACCTGAAGTAAAGACTGTGAAATGACCACTTGGCAAAAGGCCTCTGCAACCTCTAACAGGGTTAATTCTAGAATAAAAAGAATGCAAATAAAGATAATCACTTTCTTTCAACAAGGACAGATTTGTAAATTGTACAATCAATTCCATCTCCATGAGTCATCGAGTGGCATGGTACAATCCTCCGGGATGAACATGTGGTGACAGTATGTGTACACTGAGCATGCATCCAGCAATAGTGAAGAGGAAATACTCCATTTTAACAGGAAGAAACCTCCAGATCCAGACATACTTTGTAACACTGGTTACTGTCATCTGACCAAACACTATAGTCAACAAATGCACAGAGTTAGTTAGAATGATTTATTTAAAAAATAAAAATCTTGCAAAGTAAACTAATTAAAATGGGAGAAATTTAAGGGTCTGGGTGTGCTAAAAACTAGTTTATGGGAGAACACATGAAGAGGCAAAGGAGCATTCATTCAGATCTGTTACTTCCAGGCCATTGTAGCATACAAGAGCCCTACAGTCAGCCATCCATTATCGCTCAAGCTGTGGTTAGGCACCCAGAGACTAGTGTACCAACCCAGGTCTGTGCTGCTCCTCCTCTGTCCCACCACACCTGGACAAAGTGTCATCAAGTAGAGAAGAGGACAGAACATGCATGTCTGTGGCTTAGATAGATAAGTGCTCCCCTCACTGAACACAAACACCTGGTCCAACACCTGATTAACCGCACCCACACAAACCCTCCAACGATGAGGTGAAAAGGGGCAGACACAGCTCTCCTGGGTTACAACTTTCTATTTTTGAAAAGGTAATGGTAAACTAGTTGCATGGGAGGCTCTGTTTAGGAGCAAAACAGTTAAGCGGACCAGCTCAAAGCCAGTTTTCATGTTAAATGGATGAAAGAGCACATAGAGTTAGTCACAGTAAAAGCTGAACCTCTTAAAGAAAAACAGCAGTTAGCACTAAAAACAAGAGTTAGCGTTAGGCCAGTGGTGGCCTCGTGGTTAGGGCATAGAGCTTGGAATCCTGAGGTTGTGAGTTTCAAACCCACTGCCACTCTTGGTCCCTTAACCTCACACTGCTCTCCGGGTGCTGTAAATGGCAGTCTCAAGGGGAGAAGTTAAATGCAGAGAGTGAATTTTGTTGTGCTGTACTTGTGAGTCATGACAATAAAAAAGGGAGAAAAGGAAGCCCAACTCATATTTCTCATATATATCATATTTCCAGCATGGTGTCACAGCTAA